GTCAAACCCTCTGCCAAGGAGGAGGAGCAGAAGAGCAACCCCCCGATTTTCGCAAGGGTCTTGGACTGCTCGTTGGCTCATTCATTGTCCAATGTCTGATTCCATGGCGCCAAATTAGCGCACCCTCGTCTACGTCTTTTGCTCTTTCTTTTCCTGATCCTGCCTTCTTTTCGCCCAACACGGAACCGCGTGAAGAAAAATAATCAAGTATCAAAGTCAAAAAAAGAAAAAAGAGCAAATATAGAAAGAAGGCCAAGTGGATCCCCCTCAGTTCGAGGTGGGGCATAAAACGTGACGCCGGAATAGGGCAGGGATGCGGCGCGAATTCGAGCCCAATCAGGCAAGGCGCGAATCGACAATTCCCCAACTCCCGCCGGGATCCGAAAGCGGAATGGCCGGTTGATGCTCCGCTGAACCTTGCCAATGCCAAAATGTTTCGAGAGGGAAGGAAAGCTTGGCACCACCAAATCCTGGCAGGGACCGGAGAGAGGAAGGAGCAGAATGATACCTGTAAGATTCTTCTTTTTAGCTTGTGCAGCATCCTCCAGGGCTGTCTCGGACGGTACTGTACATGTACCTCAACCCTGGCATCATGACCCTTACGTCCTCAACCATCCATACAAGCTCACTGCAGTGCTTGGGTGATATTCTTGTTCATGGTTAGCCCCCGAAACAGGAAGAGCAAGACACACAGAAAGAGTCAAAGACGAGACTCCGATTGCAGAAGTCAGCCTCATGCATGGGCCAGCTATCCCGTTCCAGCACCTGCTGGCCCCCTCTTCTTCACCCCCAATAATGCCAATACATTTTGTCTTGAGGAAGCTGAAGTTGGTAGTTAGGTAGCTCTGCGATGGTAGTACTGCCACCGTAATGTTGCCTCCGAGCGCGCGAGATGGGCCGGGAAACAGAAGGAGTTCCGAGCCCTGGTTCTTGATTGCGGTGCCTCGACTTGTGAATGCCGATGCGACGGGAGGCTCATTCGCCCTCCGGCCCCCGTGGCGCGAGGTTCGAGCAGACGGGCCTAGACGGGCCTTGTCATGATGATACCAGATGGCACAGGCAATAATACTACCCTACGTTTACGGCTCGATATTTTGCCAACATTCTTTCTTGTCTTTGCTCTTCTCTCCGTCTTTTCCCACATCACGCCCCCCCTCCCCCGCCTCGTTATAGAAGATCAGTAAAGATAGCCGGTAGTATTTCGTCAGGACTCGTAATGAGCTTCTGAGCAGATGACATGATCCCACGTCTCCCCCCATTCCGACTTACAACATGGCGGGGGCGGTTCAAGTCGAGCCATGCAATCACAGGCCAACGCTTTGCCCACCCTCCCCCTCGGGTGTCTCAGAAGCCACCGCCATCTGATGCCCCCTCTCTTTTCGCCTTGCATCTGGACTCTAGATTCAAGTGGCGCAACGGTTGTTGGTTTGTTAGTCTCTTCTCGGCTAGGAATGCACAAGCACGCTTTTCTTGTCCTTTGGGGTTTTTGTCTTGACTCCCACGAGGGGGGATTGTAAGGGCAGCGAACCACCGGGTAACCCGAGACAGCGGGCAGTGGCGCGTGTCAAAAGAATGCGGTAACGCCATATTGAGTTTGCTTTTTTCTCTCTATAGTTACTCTCCTTTTTTTTCTATATTTGTGTCGTGGGGAAATGAGATGATCAGTCGAGCTTATTCGCATATTGAATGCTTCATGATCATCTGGTTCTCCTTTTTTTCTCGTCTTGGCGAGTAAGCTGCGTTATGTTGGTTGGCACTAACATGAGGCGTTCGGGGACCATACAAGCACGAGAGTTGCTGACGTGCATGCATTACGGTTCAGAGCTCCAACGCCCCTCCTCTCCCCATAGTTCGACATGTGAGCGCGACGAGCCGACAGGATGGTACGGTATGTGTAGTACATGTACGCAGGTGTCCTGCTGCGGAGAGTTGATCCTTGTAAATTTCGTGTTCCGTTGCCCTGTATTCGCTTCTTGCCAAACATCTCAAATAATCATACTACTGCTTGTAATTACGTCCTCGAACGAGTTCTATTCCTGGATTCTGTCCCGTCATGGACGGCAGAATGCTGTTTGTTTCTGCTGATCACACCTCTCCTGGGTAATGCCTCTTTGGGACGAAAATGCGGCATCCGGCCTCCTGATTGGCTAGAAACCTCCGCCACTGCATGACTCGTTTGGCTCCTCTAGTGCTGCAGTTGCACATCGTCAACTTATGCACGTTCAGAGAATACACAGCAGAAGAAGCAATCACTAACGAGAGGCCTTGATTCCTTCGTATCACTATCAGGATGCGTGCTGCAAAGCGGTGAATCTGCAGAGGCGGCGCCAGGATCAGTGTCACTGCAGTCCTCTACCCCGTATTTGCACTCATGCCTGCTTCCTCTTCCTCTTCCTCTTCATCTTTCTTTTCCTTCCCCCTCCCTCCCTCTCGCCGTTCCATCCCGTCTTCTCTGCCTCGACACCCCCCAGGCTCCCGCTCGCTTTCCCATCTTGGCGACACATGGCTCGAGTGGAGCAGTCAACGGGCTGCTAGCTGCTGCGAGAGCCAGCGCCAACGCTCAGTCCATCCCTAGAGCAGAGAGGCCCCCAAACCTCGTCTGTGCAACACCGGATTGCTGGGTAAATCATCCGCGCGCCCCCGTGCGAAGCCACAGCGCAGGGCATGCACTCGCACCAGGTCAGAAATGGCAGCGGCTGCAGTTCAAGCACCTGGCGACAGCCGGAAGGCGTGGCATGGACATGCGATTGGGGGGGGTGGTTGATGGATGCTGGCTGCAGCCCCCGAAACTATTGTCGCATCCCGCCTCCCGCCAGCCTCCTGAGCTCTGAGACACAGGAGAAAACGGCGTTGGCTCCCCTGCCGCTGAAGGATTGATGATGTTGATGATGATGGTGATGAGACACGTTTGGGCGCCTACGAACTGCCTTTTTCTGTGTTGTTGGTGTTGCTTTCTCCATGGCCGTCATCATCTTATTCCAGCGCATGTCAGCTTTGGCGCGTGGTTCCTCGGAGATCAACCATCTCGTCGGGACCGACGGTCTCGCATCAAAGTTGTTCCCGTTGCGGGCGCGCGAGAGGGTGTGCGACTTGCGCCGTGCTAAAACAAAGCGGAGCGCAACTCAATCCTCCAAGGGTGGATGTACATGTTTGCTGGCGTCAAGGATTTAGAAGCCGGTACATTGGGAAGCACGAAGCAGCAGTGTCAACCTCACTGACAGTTCCTCCGCGCCCCGAACATGGTCCAAGTACCTGCAAGCCGGCCATCTCAGAGGTGACAGACTCCGAACCCCTCGTTGGCTGGAATGGCAGCTGGCAGTTGAGCCCAGATTGCGCAGCCATTTCACCCAGCAGACGCGTGGTTACGCCTTGCCGCTTCCTAAAGTCTGGAGTAGATTCCCGACTCTCTTCGACACACAGGATTCGTTTCGGTGAGCAAAATGACCCCTATCTGATTTCCTCCCTTGGACTGAACGGTGCCGAATTGGCTGTTCGGTGTCAAGGGTTCCTCAAGCGCCAGTGGCGCTGCCGTGAAAGCTCCTCGCATCCGCTCCTTTGGGCTCCCTCTAGCGGCGACTATCGAGCGAGAACCGAAATGCTAGCAGCGTCAGGACGGGACGGGCTGGAGGAATGCTTTCGCACACGCTCAGCCCTACGAAGTCTGGAACGTGGTGTACGAGGAAAACCCCCAAATTCCAGAGTCCAAGCTGCACATGGCATCAGTTCCAGCACGGCGGAAAGGAGGCGTTGAGTCTGGAGCCTTTGCGCCATCATTATTAGAATCGTGAAGCATCTTGAAGCAGGAATGCAAGCCAAAGACAAAAGAGTGTCAGGACTGAGGGGAGAGCCAACTACTCAACCAACCAGACAAGCAGACGCTCCTCCAGGACTTGATTTACCGTCCATCACTCGCTAGCCGAGACCCATCCCTGCGGCTCTGGGGGGTTCCTAGGGCCAAAGTCTATCAATCATGGTTATTCGCAGGCTTCAGCATCCTTGCTGCATGAATGGGCGCTTCGTATGAAAGCAACGCCTTGTTTCTCCTTCAGACTCGGGGACCTGCAATGTCTGCCAACCTCCCCCTCCCGTCGCATATGGGCGCCCCCTCCTCGAGCCCTCGACCCATCGATTTGGCTTTAGCGCCATGTTGGATGGCTTTTGGTGCACAATTCGAGGCGTACTCGAGACACTAGTCCAATGATATCGACGCCAATGATGGAGACTCTTGGTTGGCTGCTGTCCTTCTCCATGGGAAAACAAAGTGAGGCTCCTGGAAGGCGTTCGTCCCTTCAAAATACGAACAAGTCGATACAAGTGGAGTTGGTTGGCATTGAAGACCCGTTCTGGCGGATACTCGTACGAGTGCCTTAGCTGTATCCCTGGGTGTGGGGTTTATGTAAGCACGGAGCAGCTCTGTGACGTGATGTTTATCCGAACCTCCGACCAAAGCGGGAGATGGTTCTCCTCTTTCTCTCCCCCATGCCAGTCAGCACGGGAGCGCAAAACAAAAGCCTTGTCATCTTGTTTCCCAGAACATACGACGCAGCCAATGGAGGCTCGCCGTTGGTTGATGGGAAGGAATAAGCGCACATCATGTCGGACAAGGGTGGCCACGCCCGCTGATTGCAGTGCTTGTTGCTTCTACCGACTATTCTGAAGGGAACCTGACCCGGGATCATGGATGGAAGTCGACTCAACTCAAGAAGTCGCCCTCTAACCCGTCCTGCTGGGTTTCCCAGGGGCAGATGATGATTGCTCACTAGCAGCTCTAGTTGACGCTGCCGTGGGAATGCGGTTCAGGGGCCAAGAGGCGCACACACGTAACGCAGCGCAGCGCACGGCCTTGGTCTTGGTCTGGTCTTGGTCTTGGTCTTGGAGTTGTCTCTGGTCTTGGGTTAGGACCTGGGTTAGGTCTTGGATGGCTTTCGGGAGCCCCAGCAGACGGCGAGCGCCTCCCCCGCCCCGTCAAATTGGTCGACATCACACGATTCGGCGACCGTGGAGACGGCTTGCGAAACTGAATCTCGGCCTGCGTCGCTTCGCCCTCGAATCGGTATTGTGGCTGCGTCAATCACGGCACTTGGTCTCGAAGCCCTCACCGGCGCCGCCGCCAGACACGCCTATTCGGGAAGTGGCTTGGGCACATTCGCTGCGTTTTGCTTGGATGGGCGACCGACAGAGCGCTGGGCAGCCCGGAAAAGGCGTGCTCTGTAGGGCTGAGCAGAAGCCAGGCCATGCACGCTTGCCTGGTGCTGTCAAATCTCTGCTCACCCTCTCCCCAAGGTCCAAAAGCACATTAGCCCGGAATCGCGAGAGGGGCGTGGGCCAGGGAGCTATCGCGGGGCGTGAGGCTATTCGGGGCTACAGATACCGGCACCCCCTCACCACCTTGCTGCCATTCTGTGCCAAATCCCTGACGTTCATCCTCAGTCCCGTCCAAGGGCCATCTGGCCGGCACGCCAATCTTGTCAGGGTCCTGGCCACACAGCGTCCCATCCGCAATCTCTGTCCACGAGGCCGCGCCCTGGTCCATCATGTCCATCCCATCCCATGGATGTGAATCCCCCTGCCGCTTTGCGCTTATTGGCGTTCCATTCTTCCAACGCGGCTCAAGGATACGTACTCTATCGCGTCTGATCCAATGCGGTAATCAGTGCGATCTCCTGCTCTCCCGAATTCTGTCGGCAGCACCCCCCACCGCTGCCTGCCTGCCAGTTTACCTGCCTGGGGAAATGAACGAATGAATCATATCACGGACCAAGCCATAGCCTCCGTTGTCTCCTGGCTTCACCCAGGCAATTGACATTGCCCGTACGAGCATGCTGCTCTGGTCAACCATGATATAATTGCTGCACCTGGATTGTATTACGAGCGGTACTGCCTGGATGCAGCCTGACATGGATATGTCTCTACCCCTTGCCCGTTCACGTTGAACAAACAATTTGCTGTGCGTCGCAGATTGCTGTCCGGCGTGACCTTCTGTTCTTGATAACAAAGCCTGCACCAGTTTTCGCATTGCTAAACGAAAGCGCTCACGTATCGGCTTTGATACGGAGGATACGGAGTGCGGACTCTGTCTGCCGGCCATGGTGCACTGTCTCTGGGGCACTCACCGTCGTCTGCCGCGTCTCGTCACTTACATGGGCGCTCTAGCATTGGGCTCAGTGCTGCGTGCCTGCGCCCAAGGCCTGATACACACACACACACACACACACACACACACACACACACACACACATACGTCAGAGTTGCATTTGCAGTCGCGTTGGTTTCACTGCAGGCAATCTACGTGTTATCCATTGATCAGCATCATGTCTTTGCTTTCATTTGCTGCCCCCCTTTTTTCCTAGGAGGCCGCGCGACCTATGGCCGCTCTGCTGTGCCCGCCGCGTCTTCGCACGAGTTGATTAGGTGGGCGAGTATACGGAGTACTCCATACCAAGATACAGTCCTAACTTGTCTTCCGCAGATGGCGTGTGCTCCGCGACGGTGACCAGGTAGCCAAGCTGTCACGGACCGTCTTGATAGGCTGCCGCAGGCCTGCAAGACCAGGGCAAAGCTTCTCAATAAGGTTTTTTACAGCAGCCGGGAGGGCCGGACAGTACTACACGAACGGTACGAGCACCTGCGTGGCCGCGGCTTATGAGATGGGCTAGCCTGTCTTGTGTTGTGTTGTCGACACCGTGCCTCTCAACTCACATGGCTCTGTAGCACAGTTTCCATCACCGCTGCTCTTCGTCGGTCCGTCCTACACACCGGAAGGCTTCTTGCCTGCAACTTCTCGCCCTTGCACACTCCGATCTTGCTCGTATACACGCTCAGGTCCTACAATATTTCGGAATACCGAGTAGCACCGCTGTTGAACCCCGCCGGAATACGGACCTTGTACGGACGACGAATGCAAAATTTGCGCTGCATCCAGAGCCGGAAGTGATAACCAGCGATGCCTGACGCAACACTGGAGATTGATATCGCATGCCGTTCTCCGTAGCAGAACCATGTGACGACTCTCGGCCGACGTGCTCCGTACCTACCTATTCTTCCTCCATTTTTTCCGGAGGACTTGACATCACCTCGAAACGTCCCACAATCTCGGGCTTCTTCTTGTTCTGGCCAAGTCCTGTAGAACGCTTGTAAGTCTTCCGCAACGGGTATCAACAGCGCTCATCGCAGCCAGAGCAATGGTGATGATCCCCACGGAAGCTTCTGACCCGAACCTCCTGGCTCCACGCCTCGGATTAGTATAGTATACGATAGGAACGACTTATACGACCAATGTCCGGAGCATCAGAGCTTGGAGTATGACCGCTTAGTAAGATGATAAGTTCCGTCCCGTCTTCACCTTGTCTTGTCTTTTACTTGTATGAACGAAAAGTCTACGCATTTTTCGTCCTCAGGGGCAAGGAGAAGTCACTGGCGATGCGGAAACTGAGCATCTTGCTGCTGATATAATCGCTGATCGGCCAATAGAAACGGGTTTCGCAAGGCATCCCCATTTCGAGTAATAACTACAGCAATCGCTCTATTCCGAAGCGGGCAGTACTCGTATGTATTTTCGCGACAAATGATTGATTCCAGCGCCCTGATGCTCGTTCACTAATCTCTCCTTGGCTAGGAAGGGCCTCTTTTCTGCTCTTACAAGGTGAACTGAGACATGCTTCGCTGTGTGATTGGCCGGAGAGGGGAAGCATCCTCCAGAACGACCAGCTTGGGGCTCGTAAGCGTGCAGTCGGACAGTGAATATATGTACGGTATCTTTTATTGATCGTACAGTACTGACGCAGGCAAAACTCAGGGCAGCGGTCAGATTGGCTTGTGCGCTTGGAGCCCTGGAGAGCTCGGACTCTGGGCCAATCACAGCTCACTTTTACAGCCCCGGTCACATGTCTGGACGTTCGGCTAGCTTCGCCACTCTCCGTTAGCATTTCTGGGGCTGCCATTGGATTCCCACCACTTCCCCATCGCCTGCCCGTCCACTTGCCAGCAGCCCTGTCACGGCCTCTGGGCGTGCCGCCGTCCGTCTTCGATCTCGGGGCGCCGCGACATCGCGCTCTTCTCCGCGCGCATGAGCTCACTGACAGCCCTGGCAGCGTTCCTTTCCGGGGAGGCCATTTCCGAGGCTCCAGTGGCACAGGCTGCAACTGCTCCTGCTGCTGTGCTACAGGTGCTGTGCTGTTCCGTACTGCACTGTACCGTCGGTGGTGGTAGCACAGCGGCAACGCTAGCAGCCAACGGGAATATGCATGCAGCGCTGCCTTCTGGAGATCTTAGGAGTCTTACAGCGGCAGACGGGCAATGCTGTGCGAGCCGACCATCGCCTACGCACACGAAGCCCCGGAAGCGTCTGCTTCTCGAAGAGGGGACTAACCAAACTGTTCTACCGACACGAGGCACGCATCACCAGAAGGAAGCAAAGAAGAGAGCTCGCCCTACTCTCTGGTGGAGCGAGGCGGACTTGGATCTGTCGCAGGTTGTAAAAATAAACTCCCGCACTTGGAGGCTCGCAGTCGCAAGCTACGCCGTCCTGTTGGTCCGTTTTCATTGAGAACCGAGCTACGAACTACCCGTTATGGCACTTACAGGCAGTGTCCTCCGATGGCTCGCAGACGAGACGGGGCCGAACGCAGTGCAACACCACACCCACAGGTCGGGCCTCTGGTTGTTTCTCTGTCTCGACAACAACCCAAGTGTCCAGTGCACATGGGGAAAACTGATGCAACTCGTGCCCCCCTTCTCGTCGGCTGAACGTGCCCTTGACCACCCTTCTGTGCTGCTTCTCGATCCTACATAACGTGCCCGTCGGATCTCGAGTCGCGCTGCCTTTTTGTCTCAGTCCAGAGGTGGGAGGGGAGGAAAACGTGGCAGATTGCATCGATGTCCAGAAAGATGGTTGCGAATTTATTGATGCCCGTGGCAATACGGAATTTGTCAAGACAGACACTTCGAGCGTTTCGCATGCTGTGCTTGTGCTCCAGCATGTGGCCATATCTACACCTTGGATTTTCGACATGACCGGCGAGGCGGGAGTTGCCAGCCTGGGAGAAGAGGCGCGGTCTGATCTGATACCTACCCTGAAATGCGGAAGCCACACCGTCAACTGCGGAACCGTTTGGCCCCCAAAAGCCACTGTTTTCTCTTGTCTGTCTGTCGACGAGTGATGAATACGGCAGAACAATCTGGGCTTTCTGATACAAATTGACGTCCAGGGGGGCTTTGAAGATCATGCCTGCTGCGATTTGTAGGATCAGGACTAACAAGGAGCTGTCGGGCCACTCACAGCGGCAGCAGGACACCACGCCCTTCACCCCCTGAAAAAGCGACAATGAGGCCCAACATATGAGCGCGGCCGAGAGTGTCATTTAATATTTGAATATCGATAGCGTTCCACGTTGAACGGCGGCTTGTGAACTCACCAGAAGCTATCAACACTTACCATGGCCGAATGAGGCGTCATGGCGCGATACTATATTGAAGGGCTTCGGCATCACTGGTCGAGGCACCAACTGGCATTGGACCCCATTAAGCATGTCGCGTAAAGGTACATCAGACAGGGATACAAGGAAAGTGGGAGACGGTCGGGACGCTACAAAGCAGACAGCCAAGGGGGGGGGCGTGTGGACGGTCTGCAGCGCTGGGATGAGGGAAGCTCCCAGCAGCCGGGGTGGTCGAGGTGGGTGTACGGCGTCTCGAAACTTCCCCCTTGTTAAGCCCACAAATTCTTTGTTTTCACACACCCCTGACAGCCCCGGCAATTCGGTAGCCCAAGGACTCGGTTCGCCGTGTGACTCGCACGGACTAACTGCAAGCAGAAGCGACAGGATTCCAGGGCCACGTCGACGAGATCGACGACACTGTCGCCGGCGATTTACAGGGCTCAGAACACGAAAATGAGATTTGATGACCGGCACAGGCCTTGCTTGTCCAAGCACGCGTACCGTGGCCATGATGATGGCATCAAAAGACGCTGATGCGCAACAAGCCACACCGCCAGTACCGCTCGACTTGCCTCTCTTTGGCGTCTGCGATAGATTGCATGGCCACGTTTGGATCGTGATCATGATCGCCGACTAGCAGCGCAACCAAGTTCATGCCGACATTAAGCTAACACCATTGGCCGATCGACTTACGCACCGCGTCGCGCCCCTTTTGACAAGACTTGAACTTGGAGCACCAGGGAGCGAAACTATGATTTCAAACCTTTTCGGATATCGGACAAGCCGAATGATTTCGCTTCCGATCATGGCTATCGCTGGGCTGAGGAGATGCTGCGACAGAACAGTCACGTCGCATGAATGAGTTGAGATTGGATCTGACTTGATTTGGCTTGCCTGGGGGTTTTGCTGCGTTACGAGTAAACAGCTCGACGCCTCATTGGCCAGGCCGTATTTCTTCTCTTCCAAACCCCACGATGCCCTTGCAGGGTTGTTTGTGGCAGGCATGCGAAGAGTGGAGAAGGCCGGCAGTGGGCTTGCGCCTCGACTTACATGGACAAGTCTGGCTCTCATCGAGTCAACAAAGTCGACGTGGTCTCGAACCGCAGCGCTGGAACCTTCAATGATGCCACACGCCTGATCTCTCCTCACGTGTTGTCGGTGCGTCCGCATTGGCCAGTGGCTGGTCAGATGGCTTGACGAGGCTCCCGAAGGCTACGCCAACGAGTGGTGTGTGTGTGCAGACAAGAACCAACATTTGAGCCACAACGGGAGAGCTCCCAGAGCTATTCCGCATTCACTCTAGGTTTAAAGCCTGGAAATCGAAAGCCACCGGCAGACTTGCTGCAGCGCCACGTATACCGGCAGGTATTGTAACGACCCGGCAATCTGGGGGGTGCCTTGCTTCATTCCAGGCATCTCCGGGAAGCTGGGAGGGAAAAGCAAAGGGCGAAAGAGACATCTGACGAGTCGCAAAGACGACACATGGCAAGCCAGCAATAGGCAGACACCGCTGGGCTGGGAATGACGCCAGCATCGATGTCCACGATTGCGAAGCTGGGAGCCGGAATGCTTGGCGTTGATCAGATGAGCTCCGATGAAAAGCTTACCAGAACGTTTGATTTAGAGAAGGCCACTCGGGACCAAGATCGACACTGTATGTTGACATCAAGACCTCCTTGGAAAACGAGAAGTGGCAGCGTCACTGGCCGCTCCACTACCGCAGGAGCGCATAATTTCCCATGCAGCGGCAGTTGGGGCCGTCACTCCAGGTAGATCTCTCCAGCTGGGTGTGGCCCACGGAAAAGGATCTTATCCCAACTCGACATCCATGATAAGGTGCTCACTGCAGTCGATTTCAGGAGGCGGCCTGGGATGTGATGAGGTGGGAAGAACGGCGCCAAGCAAGAATTGCGCAGGAGAAGCTAGGTAATGCCAACCTGTTTCTTGGGCGCCTTCTACTACATGTATGGACTGACTGTCCAGTCAGGCCCCTGGTAAGGCTGGAGCTGCCTAGCAATCGTGCTATAGCATACACCCTCTAGCCGTGGCACTGCAAGGCGGCGGCGTCGTCGTCAAGGGATGGCTTGCTTCTCGAGAAGTGATAACCCCAAGAGCAATAAGGTAGAAGGAGGCTTATACCGCCCTTCACCATTTAGACTAAGATCCAAGCGCCCCCTTACCGCCGTTCGAGACCGGTCTATCGTGGCGAGTCGTCCAAGCTGCCGGGAGGCCACGATCAGAGAACTCATGTCTGTTTAGTGGCGCCTATCCGTCCCAGTCCGCTGGGAAAGCTTAGCTTCGTAGGGCTTGTGGCGGAGTGCCGAAGCCCCAAGACTCATCTCGACTTTACGCAAGCGCTTGGTGTGCATTATTAGGCTTGACAGTCTCTGAGGGGTCGCTTGAGGGAAATGTCGACCATTGATTTCTTGGACTCCCCTTGGCGACTGGGTAAGTTGATCCCTGCGAGATGTGGTCAGAGCAAGTCGAGACTCACGAGTACGAGTGTTAGTGCTTTGACTTTGAGAATTGACCGGTACGCAACACAGATTCGTGCTCGATACCGTACAAAGTACGAAAACGTCAGGTAGTGTCATTCACTGTTATCATGCGCGCAGCACCCCTCATTATTGGACCCCTGATTCCCGATACCCTTGACGCAAGGTTATTGCTTCTTGAATGCTGTGAGGTGGCTCGATGTAACCCAATATCCGCGCTCTGAATTGCAGCCTTCCAGCTCTTGTAGCGGATTTATTGATTATATTCATGCACGCATACATTATCGGTCAACAGGATACGAGAGGAGAATACACACATTGAATGGCATTTCCAACCGAGGGGGCGCTCTTGGGCAGGCTGAAGTCGGTGTAAGTGGTCTCGGTAGGGCACAGGCAAAATCTGACGTATAAATGACAGGAGACTGCGGAGAAATACCACGAAGAATCTGGCCAAGCAACCTAAATCATCTCACTACTTGGCGAACTTGTGGGCAAGACGGGTGATCGCTGTCCGTTGGCTCCGTCGCCCTGGGTAGTGGGCATTCCGCTGCATTGATTGGAGACGGTTTCTGAACACCTTGTCGAGGCTGGTGGCTGTTTGTTGAGGGGAGAGCGAAAGAAGAGGGGGGTGTTGTTTCAGTGCAAAACAGTTCATTTTCATGCGCTATACTTCCTGGACTCGGCACCGCGCACCGCCCTGCATAGCACTCGACGGTCATCTATTTTTGCAAACCCGGCTTGGGGGCCATCTGGCTTAGCGCGGCAGCGGGAACATATGAGACGGCTATCGGGTTGATATCTGGCCAGGGATGTGCTTCTGACATTCTCTAGCCTGGCCTCGACGCTCGGGTCCGTCTCCCGGCTAGCCCCAACGCTTAACTACGGGGAATTGTGGCGTTCGCTTGATTTAGTGGTCGCCGACCACTTTCCTTAGCGTGGAGATGTTGTCAGTTCGGACGTCTGTGATGGGAGGGGACCCCTCATAGGGCAGGCGAATTGCCTGCGAGACCGCCCTTCCCCCCCCCTGTCGCCCAGCGGTGGTCGAGACGGAGTCGTGCGCGCACAGGACCGCTTCGACGCCAACACGCCCAATTTGCGGAACGGAGAGAGAGGGAGAGGGAACACAAATTACAGATGCAGAGTAAAAGGGGCCGACTGGGAAGCTAAGGCAGCAAAACCCAGGTGTTCGCTGCGATCCCCTGCTTGCTGCCGGCCGTCGCTAGGCAGTGAAAACCGCAGGTCCCGATGCTTTGGATAGCCTCGAAGGCTCGCGTGGCGTCGACGCCTCCCCGAAGTCTTACGTTTGTGCGGTAAGAGTCCTCTCACAGATCACCCAATTCATGTCTCCATACTTCTGTCTAGGGGAAACTCTGAAACCTTGAGACTCTCGTCATTGTCGATGGGTAAAGTTATTTGTCCTTCCCCAGAAAAGGAGGGAGGGGGCGTTCGCCGTCATTATGAGTTGAGATGAAGCCATGGTATGTATCATTCCTCATCTGCCTCTTTGGTCCCCAGTTCTTCTTTCCCCATCAATGGGCATCGTCTCCTAGGCGCAATGTAAGAAAAGGCAAAGACAAACACACAAGCAGAGGGTGGGGGGATAGGCTGTGGCGCTCTGGGCAGGAGATGCTGGCCGCATCTTTGGGATAAGCAAGGCCACGTGTAACCGTCCAGCCGGTCAGCAGCAAGGTGAACCCCAGCCCGGTATCGCGCGCCTCGTCGAGATTCACAATCTATCTGCTTTAGTCATAGGCGCTCGCTTCCGCCCGCGATTCTCTAGGGGCGAGATGACAAGTTTACAGAAGGGCGCTTGACCTAACTGGGCTTGAATTCGCGATATGACACGGGCGGCAGGCCGAATCGAGACATCTGATGGGATGGGATGGGACGGGGAGGGGGCAGGGCTTTGATATTGGGGAGCGTTGTGAGTGAGGTGAGAGCCTGGAGCGCACAGAGGCATGCTTATTTGCCAATGGTTCGATGCGTTATGCATTTGCCTTGGGGCACATCTTACCGAAACATTTCTGATAGACGAGGCGGAGCGGAGAGAAGGGAGCCGGTTGAGTGAGCGCGAAAGAGGCGAATGCGACAAACAACATGATGGATGCAGTGCGGCTCTGAGACATACATGGCCTGTTACTATTTGCTGCTGCCAGTCTGCAGTCGACAGCTCATCACAGGCTGCCAAACAGGGCTTCAACCTTGGGAGTTGACGCGACAACAAGTGGGATTAAGCTCTTTTCCGCCAAGGGATTTGGGGGGAGAAGAAAAGGTCGGCCTGGGCCTGGGCCTCTTCGGAAAACACCGTCGTCGTACGACGATTCGTTGACGGCCCGTCTTTCAGGTATGATGATCTGGTGGAGGCAACCATGGTCGATTTCCTATTTGGACCGAATATGCAGCATGTGCAGCTCATCGCCATCCGATACAACTGCAGCGCCCGATGGAGGTTCCACCGGCCTTCGCCAGTCATAGGGCGACAACCACCACTCTATCGACCAACACACACACTCACACACACTCACACGCTCAATCAGAAGGCGACGCTGATTAAACTACTACTGCATTACTCCGGCGGCTGCATGATGGACACATACATATACACATACATACATGCATGCCTCTCTCAATTAGCCCACATTGAGCAGCAGCATCAGCAGCATGCGAGATGTATGTACGGACGACGCAGTCTAGACGGCAGTGGTGCATGCATCTTTGCGCGGGCGCACCGGCAGACGCTTTTGGCACCTTACACGGGGCAGGGCACACACAAACACGGTTGTCGATGGAGATGCCGCGGCTCGCAGTTGTCTGTCTCCATCTGCGCGTCTCTACTTGTGAGCTCCGGCCCCATCCTTTCAGCAGGTCAAGGGTCAGTCAAGCCTGTGGCCACCGGAGTCCCGGCCAATCGAAGCGGCCCAACGGACTGTTTCTGGGCTTCTTTTCCCTTTTTCCCGGCCCTCCGGACGGACTTGGGGAATTCGGTCTATTATCCCTCCAATTCCAGTTCCAGTTCCCTCTGCAGCCCCATTTCCGTTGTGATGCCCAAGGTTTGAAAGCGACGATCGGTGGCTTGTCGTTGATGTCGTACCCTGAGAGGAGAGAGAGTGATTCGCTGCCGAGGGTGCCATTGCCCTACCGGCATCTTCTCTAGCCGGATGGATCAAGCCCTTTTTGCTTCAATTTTTTTTTCTTCCCCTTTGCCCACTCCTTTGAGCAATCTTTTCTCTCCACCCTTATATAAGGACATTTCGACCAATGGCCGGTGGGATCTGGAGCCTCTCGGCTTGAGAACCTGGGCCCCCCTCCCCCTTCCATTCTCGCATCGCCAAGCATCTTTCCCACCGTGCCTCCTGTACATGCGCAGTGCATGTACATGCAGCATGCAACCGGTAATGCAGCGGTTTTGACTCCACAGCTAGGCGTTTTTTTTTTGCCCTCTTTCTGGCACATGAATCTCGCCTTTTCGCACCGAGCAAGTAACTTTTCGTGTGTTTTGCTCAGGCTCGAAGGCCCTTCCCTTCTTGGCGAGGGAGTGAGGATAGCCTATTCATCCATCTGGCTGACAGGGATTTACTATTACCCAGATGTGTGTTGATTAACTTTCCGGCAAACATTGCTGCCTTTCCTTGCTCTCTCTCTCCTATCTCGGGAGTAGCGGCTTGGCTGGTTGTACCTCGTTTGTGTACCAATCACCGGCTCTTCTTGAAGATATATCCTTCTGGTGATACTACAGGTACGTATAATGCAAGGAGACATCACAGACCAGCAGGCTGGCGGGATCCTTGTTGATGGTTGGCCCCTTGAGCATGCCTTGATCTGCGGATTTGAGATGGAGTTTGCGAGGGGGAGTCTGTGAGGCAATGTACAGTACTGTACGTTATGTCCTTGCGAAGTCCGGGTGAACGAACGGACACCCGGGCTAGAAGATAGTCTAGATGCTGGCTAGCTTCTCCAGTTTGCATCATCTTGTCTCTGGGAAGCCCCCCTTGTCGAAGGATGATCCATATTGGATGATCCGTGCCCTCATACGCACGTACTTGTATGGATGTACATACGATACATACATATCGCACATGTGGTAATGTGATATACTAGTATATGCACATCCAGTATGGGGTACTTACACGGATGTTGGCGGAAAGGCTTCCGCGTCCATGGGCAAACGACACGAGTATGCACATTGAGGCATCCTGGACTTGCACGCGCCGCCGGATCTCTGGCCACGACGCAAGGCACATTTCACATCGTCGTTTCCCTCCCCCCTTCCTTTACTGTAGTACTCGCAGGCAAGCAAGCAAGGCCCACTCTGTGACCACTCTGCGACCTCGGTCCGGGCATGTAAGGGGGCCAGAGATAGTATTACATACAAGTACTATGACCGTTATGTCTCAGTCTTAGGTCATCGTCGTTGTCGACGTTGGTGACGCAGCCTGGATGTACGTATGGAGTAGTGATGATGCACGATTTCCCTGTTCTCCCCCCCCCCTTTTTTTTCTTTATGATCGGGGATTTCGGTGCAAGTCATGTCTTGTCTGAGAGGTTGGTGAGTGTCTTTCTGGTGTCATCGACTTGCTTCCGAGCTCCACTCGGGGGGTGAGACTCAGTCCATTCTATGTAATCAGTGCTCTCATTGGACTTGATCGACGTTTGGTCGAGCGAGGAGGAGTAAGAAAACTCCTCCTCTTACTCCATGTACCTTGTTGCTGGCGTGGGAAACTACCGCTAGTGTCGTCGAATTACCATGGCCCAGGCATTCTCCTTTGATCCTATCTTTGGCCCTGCCTTGCCCTGACTTGCTTGACTCACAGACGCTATGAATGTACCAGTTGAGTAGGTACAGTACTTGTACATACGAGCTTTCCTCTCGATGGAAATGGAGACGTTGATGTTTCAGTCCACGAACTACGCTGCGTACAAGAAGCCACTACGAGATAGTAGTAGCAGTTCCCCCCCCTAGAACGGTGGCACCTACTACTAGCTAGCACACGTCATCTGAAGCCGTTTCTAGCGTAATAGTCTGGTCTGAGACTTTTCTCGCCTTTGCTTTCCAAGACACTTTTCCCATTTTTCGGAGGCGCGTTTTGTTTACCTTGACGCGATCCTCGGTGTTTCTTCTTTCTATTTTCTCCTTCTTCCGCAAGAACTCGGGCCGTTTTAAACGGGCCTTGGCGAGCCGAGATACTGGTAAGCTAGTCGTTATTGCTGTACGAAAGTTTCACCTTTTTTCTTGTCGTGGGGATTCGTGGAGAGTCGTAGCACATACACTGTTGACGAGTAAGAGAACACTTTGACGGACGGGGGGGATGTTCCTGGTTTCTGTACGTACGTAAGAGGACATAGTATAGGAGAGAGGCTACAGGACCCCCCCTGTGTTTGCATCGTAGGATCTGATTCCTTGCTCTTGTCCTCTTGTTCGGCAACGATACCTTGTCTCGTGGCATTTCTTCCGTGAAATGCTACCTGAGTGGTTTTTGTCTCCCCTGAAGCGAAACGGTGATCTTGTGACAAGGGCTCTATCCATGGTGTGGGTGTGTTGGTTTTTCTTGTTTATCGGTAGTTTGGCTTGCTCATGTACAAGTCATGCATGTATTGCGGAGGAATTACATGTACATGTACTAAGTTCCTTGGTTTAAAGGGGAGGGGGGGCATGGTTGGATTTGTTCGTTTTGGGGAGAGTCATCATGGGGCCTTCCACTTTCTGGGTGTGTGTGAACGGTGGGACGGGGGGAGGCAGGGGAAAGCTTGCCACATGGCAGTTGGGAATGGGTGGAAGGGTGGTGTTTGGTTTGATCTCATTTCGGAAACGGAGATCTGTGATGGGTTGATGTTTTTGGTTGGTGTCTCGAGACGTTAAGGGGGTGTTTGGTTGGGGAATGTTTTGCGGGTGATTCATTATCGCTATATGGGCTACACTTGTAGGTGACTGTGGCTGCCTCTGTGTGTCTGTGGTGATTGTATGGTCAGTAGAAGGAGTCTGGGAGCTGAGTGTTGTTCTTCGCTGAGTTACGAGAGCTGTTTGGACGTCGTGTTGTGCGGGACGAGGGTTATCTCTGGGGAGAAAGGTGTCAACTCGGGATGTGGCGTGGATAAACTACTACGAGTCCCATCCCCCCAGAACGTACGGAGTATGAACTATATAGGGTAATGTGCGACGCTCCTCCAAGCGGGTGTGGTTCAAGAGAGCGCGAACGATATGGGGTTGGTCCAGTCCACAGTCGCATGTACTTGGACGTCATAGTGCGCTGTAATTTGAGCAGGAATTGCCTTCTGCTTCTGAGTACGCGTCTCTGTGGGCATGAACATCTCGTGAATCGAGAATATGATATCATTTTAGAAAAGTTGTGAGCTTTCGTTGAGCAGAGTTGCGCCTTTCCCATATCCTCTCGTTGCGGAGTGCGGGTGAGGTTGAACCGGATTGTGTGAAAGCGCATTTTCCCGCCCCTGGAACCCGATCACGCGTATGAGGCAAGATCAGTCGACAAGCACAAAGAAAAGACAAACAAATCAAACCAAAATCGTCAGAATTGTATGTTTGTTGTCCGCAAGATCGACAACTATCACGTCTCACGCGACGCAACTACAGCTGTTCACAATGTGGTTGATAAGCCACAGGCGGGCACCGGCAGACAACCGGCTAAGCCACGGGAGTTGCCGAGGCCAATCACGTGCACCTCTTCCAACGACGTGCGTCATCGGAAGCTTCCCGGTATCACTAACGTGGCATCAAGCAACAGCTCGGGATTGCTAAGCGCATCTTCAACTCACTCGTGCATCGGCGATTGCAGGCTCGACGATGGAAATGTAGGCTTCTGGAAGTACTATACGATTAAATCGAAGTCAAGTCTTCGTCCTGTTTTCCCGAAATGTTCAAGCTGCGGCTGGGCTGGTATGCCGGGGTATGTCCTCTCCCATGCTCTACTGGAGCTTGTCCTCAAGCCCTCGAGGATCCATATCAGATATCATCAAGCTTGGCTCAACTGACGCCCAATGACTCCATCAGGTCTCAACAGCCCTGGCCGGCGCCGTCGTGCTGTCGGCATTCCACCAACGCGCCAACTTCTACTCTGCCATGGTCTATCTTGCCCAGAGCAACTTCTGTCTACTGGTGCGTAGACGTGGGTCTTTGCCGCGGGAAACTCGTGTATGCTAACCCACCGGGATGTAATGTAGGTTCTGGTCAACTTCACGTTGCTGCTGTATAGCAGCTTCATATACGCCTTGACGCAGCTATGCTTCGGCACGTTGCGCGCAATCGAGGTCGAGCAGCTCACCGAGCGAGCATGGTTCGCCATCACCGAGACGTGCCTGGCCATGACCATCTTCCGCGAGGAGATTGGCGCCTGGTTCCTCGTCATGTTCACGGCGCTCGTCACCGGCAAGGTCTGGGGATGGATTGGCGATGGGCGCGTCGAGTTTCTCGAGCAGCAACCTCCTGCGAATCCGCGCCTGTTTCATCTGCGGCTCAGCATCTCCCTTGCCGCCAGCTTCCTCTACGACATCTGGATCCTTCGCTATGCTGTCAACACCGTCATCCAGCAGGCCAGGCCGAACATGATGGTCATGTTCCTGTTCGAGTTTGCTGTCCTGGCTACCTGTTCCTGGAGAACTGGAGCCCGGTACCTCGTGTCGCTTACGGAGCAGCGCATCGTCCAAATGCAGACGAGAACACGCCTGATGGAGCGGAGGGAAGAGGTCAGGCGACAGCGAGAGGCCCTTATTTGCCAGCGAGAGCAGGCCGCAGCGGCTGGAGAGCCCGTCCCGGAAACCCAAGACCCTCTGCCCGATCCCGATGACATTGATGAAATGGACATCGAGGTGCCGGGCTGGGCGGCAAAGGGTGAGCTCGTTCTTTGGCTTGACCTAGTCACTGGTAAGAAAACTCCTCTGCTCCTTCACAGCATTCTGTTTCTGCAAGACCACTAACGTCTGTCTCAAGATATGGTCAAGCTGGGTATTTATGTCTCCTTCTTTATGATGCTTCTCATGTTCTATGGTCTTCCCATCCACATCATGAGGGACTTGTTCATGACGACACGGGACTTTCTCAAGAGGCTCAATGCACTCCTCCGGTACAGACGGGCTATCCAAGAGATGAACAAGTATCCGGATGCTTCTGAGCGCGATCTCGCACAAGAGAACACATGCATCATCTGCCGTGAGGAGATGCACCTGTGGGATCCCCAGAACAACGTGGGCACCATCGACCGCGTGCGCCCCAAGAAGCTCCCCTGTGGCCACATTCTGCACCTTGGATGCCTCAAGAGCTGGCTGGAACGGCAACAGGTCTGCCCAACCTGCAGGAGGCCAGTCACGGGTGAACGTTCGCAATCTCCCAATGCTCGTCGCGCAGCTCTCAGGCTCCAGTTCGGCCAGGCGCCGCGACGGGGGCGGGATGAACGCGGGAATGGCAACGACGATGCAGATGACGACAATGACAACAATGACAACGATGGCAACAATGCGCCTCGTGACGGACAGAATGGCGCAGCGCCAGCGCGTCAAGCTCGGGGGGATGCAGGACGAGCCCGGGTCTTCACCTTCGGTCCTATTAGGCTTGGATTTGGGGCCAATGACCAGCAAGTCCGTGAACTCGCGCAACAATTCGGCATGCCTCAAATCGCCGGTGAACAGGGACAAGGCTCCTCCTCTACGGCAGCTCCCCAGGATCAGTCTCAACAGGTCCCCTCTGGCGACAGCTACCAGCAGATTGGGAACCTCCTGCAGCAGGCGGAGCAGATGCTGCAACGCGAACTGCAGAACCTACAAAACACGCAACAGGAGCTCCAGATTGCCAACTTGCTCAATACCGAAATTCAACGCCTTCGCCAACGGCGACAGCAGCCGCTGGATGCCGCACAGAATGGCCAGGGGCAATTGCCCGTGCCACTGAACCAGCCAACCACCCTGTCTCCCGTAGGACTACCGCCCTTGCCCATGGGGGTGCCTCCGGTTGGAGGCCTGCAAGTGTATCCCTCTTCCCTGCCGCCGAGAATGAGCAGCCCCTTGATGACTCGGCACGGAGCTGGCCCATTCACGACGGCAATTCCTGCTGGCAGCCCCGATTTGCCGGAAGGATTAGTGTTGCCTCCAGGATGGTCCTTGACGCCTCTGCAGAGACTGGACAATGCTCCTGCCGGACCTCATTTTCCACCTCAGACCGCTGGTGTGCCTCAACCAGGTGACACGACCGGGAGCCAGACCGCGACATCGTCGGTACAGCCAACACCGACGGTGCCACACAGCCAAGAGTCGATGCCGGCGGATTCTTCGTCTATGCCTGCTCCGGTAGCCCAACCCGCCGGATCGCGAGCAGATATTTCCCCCAACCCTGGCCCTTCATCGGACCCTCCGCCCGTGGTATCGCCCAGCCCAATGATGCCAAACTGGGGCGGCTCCAACCAGCTTTTCGCTTCCACCTCTCGCCTTGAGCAAGGAGATACGGCCAGCCAAGCAAGCACCCAGGCCGCTCCGGCGGCAACGGACGTCATTGAACCCTCCCCACAGGAAGGCGGCAGCAGCAACAGTGCTCATGACTCGTTGCCGGCGGTGGATCATCTCAGGCGGGAGCCGAGTATCCTTGAGCTGGAGCAGAATGAAGAGGGCCAGGCTGCTGCTGAGGAAGAAGGAAGGTCTGATAAGGGAAAGGGTAGGGCTGTGACCATGGAAGAGGCTGAGGATGAGGAGAATTGAAATTGCGGCGGATTTTGAAGCAAAGTTTATATGTATCAGAATTATCATGTACATTTTTGGCGTTTGGGGGGTTACATAGCAGATGGCATCAAACACATTAGCTTATTCTACGTGTACTCGTAATTGGCTTTATGCTTGAGTGAACACGTCGTCAGATGGGGCATATGATGATGCCATTTGCTGTCTCTGTGAACAAGGTTTCTCTCTTCATCGGAATATATATATATATATATGTGTGTGTGTGTGTGTGTGTGTGTATCTTGGACATGACATAGTTCATCTACACATAAAATCAGACATTCAACACTCTTTACATCTCCCAAATAAACAAGCGCTAATTCAAACCGCCTTTTCCATAAGTTCAATCAACCGACAAAGAGACGAAACAAGGACAAAAGCAAAATGTAAAAAACACACCCTACTCCTGCCCCGGCGAGGGCACCTCCTGGCTCGGGCTCGGCGCCTCCTCAACAGTAGTAGTAGCCCCCTTCTCCCCGACCTTGACAACCAAGTCGTAGCTCACCCTCAAGTTCTCCGTGCCCCTCAGCGCCCTCACCATCATCGCCTCGTTCTTCTCCTGCACGAGCCTCCGCAGGGCACCGACGAGGAAGCCGGCCACGATGTCGACCGACCACCGGTCCGGGATGAGGGCCAGGACGTCGTCGATGTCGAACCACCCGCCGAAGCGGTCGAGCAGGGCGCTCGTCTGCTCGACCCGGTCGCTGACGTCCTTGATGGCGAGGAACTCCCTGAGCACCACCTGGAAGAGGCGGCGCTGCTGCTCGACCTGCGGGATGCTGTCGCGCCGGCCGTTGATGGGGGAGTAGATGGTTGCGCCGCCGCGGAGGCAGTACGAGACGGCGGTGTCGTAGTCGCCGAGGTCGTGGACCAGCAGACGCAGCGCGTCTTCGTGCTTGCGCTCTCGCCCGGCGATGATGATGGTCTCGGGAACGAGCAGATCGCCCGACAGTTTGTCCATGCGCTGCCTTATCGCGGCAATGTCGTATTCGTGAGGGCCGCCCAGGAGTTGCAGCAGCCGGAGCCGGCTCTGCCAGACCTCGTCGTCCTCGGGAGCATTCTCCGTCAAGAAGTGCCTGTACGTCGGCTTGGGGCTTTGCAGCGCCCTGTAGGCGGCATACGCGGCCTTGACCGTCTCCTGGCTCTCAGGCGACTTCAAGTCGTCAATGACAATCTCCAAGTAGTACGAGATGAGCTCGTTGACATAGGCCTCGTAGCCCTTGTCAAACACGAGATGTTCCAGGTAGTACTTGACCGCCCCCGGAGCCTCGGCACGCAGCAGCTCGACCGCTCTGGTGGGCTCAAACTTGGGCGATTTGCCCTTGTCGTCCGCAAACACTTGGACACCGAGCTTCGGGTTTCTGTTGGCCAGCCATAGACCGTACTCCTGGACAAGCGCTTGGTTGCTCAGTTTGCTGAGATATTCCCGCACCCTCTGCTCACCGTCCATCAGCTCTTGAGCGTCGTCTTCCTCCCCTTCGAGGACGCGCTTCCAGGTTGCCAATACGTCAGCAGACATCTTGCGACTTTGATATAGTCTGCTCAAAGCGAAGAACCTGTGGTACAACTCCAGGAGAGAAACAGCCCGGTCGAAGCAATCCATGCCGCCGTCTACCAGAGCACCCAGCTCTGCCCTGACAGCACCTCCCTTTCCCAAGCCCTTGGGGGAATGCCTGTCGAGCTCCAGCAGGACTAGCAGCAATGCCGCATCAACGGTTCGGAAGACTTCAGCCTCTACTGACACACTTCCAAAGCCCTTCATTTTCCTCCAAGCCTGCAGGTAGCGCCGGAGGAAATGCAGGGTCTTGAGCGGAAGACCCCTTATGCCTCCTTGAGATAGTTCTTGGAATTCCGAACTCGTCAAAAACGCTTCTGGTGACTCTTTTACACCGCCATAGATCCATATGCCTCTACGGCCCTCTATGATCTCATTTCGGACTCCTGGAATAAGAGACAGAACAACACGCGGGTCGAGTTTGCTATCCACCAGGACCTCTTGTAAAGCGGTGAGCTCCTCATCCGATACTTCTCTGTTCGGTGAGGAAAGCAGCAGATTGATCAACAGAATGACTCCCGCCTTTTGTTGTATGTAGCCGAATGTGGTAAATTCGAGTTCTGTCTTTGGCTCACGGTCGCGAATGCTCGTCAAAACCATGATAATGGCACGCTTATCAATCTCCTTCCCCTCGCTGTGCTGTAACAAACGGGCAGCCTCTAGCCGTTTGTCGAGCTGAACAATCAGGGGGTTCCGGACGGCCCACCATATGCGATTGCCACGCCATACAGCAATGCGTGTCCGGGACTTCGAAAGCCGGCGGGCAAATTCTTCTCCCTCCACGGTCCGTGCCGCCTCCCACCCTTCCGGAAGCGATTCTCCATCTTGTGAGTCAACGTCTCGTTCAAAAAGCTCTCGCTCCTTCGCCAGCCGTTCTATCGAGAGGGCAGTCCTAGAATCCGAGGGCTTAAGAGTGGATGTCGTCGGGGCAGATTCAGTCGAGCTCGGAAATGGGGTGTATTTCTTCAGACTCAGTTTGTCGACAATGTCCTCAGATTGGGTCTCATGCCTGCTTGCAACGGTACGAATCCCGTATTTCCCCTCAAGGTCTGCATCACTGGCTTCCAGCCACTGTTTTTGGGGGTGTGCTTCACTACCGGCACTCCATCGTTGGATTTCTACTCCACTATGAGGGACGCCGTCGATATCCTTTGTCATGGAGGCAAATACGAACCCGTCCTCATCTTCAGCAGAGGCAGCATCGTCCGATGAGCTGCTGTCGATTACGACTTGCTCGGGGTATATATCAAACGTGATTGTTGGTCGTGTGGGGTCGCCATCCAGGTTTATGAACATGCCAACGCCGGGATCTGATGGAGTAGTGCCCATAACCAGGAGGAACTCTTCAGGCGTCGGCGAGGTAATGTGTGGCTTCAGGAGAGCGATTACAGGCCGTGGTGCTGGGCTAGAGGATGGAGGGGGCGCCGGTAGGGGTTTATCAGCAGGCGGCGGAGTCGAACTGTGCTCAGGGGGCTGAGGGCTCGACGGCTGTCCTGGGTGAGAGAGCGGTTGTGAGATGGGAAGCCGCGGGCTTGTGCCTGGCGCGTCGGGCTTCAGCGAGTCCGCGGCCGTAGCGGTGTTTCCCAAGCTGGCACTTCGACTATGCGTCTGCGAGCTGCTCGGCGGCCGGGTCTGGTTCGAAGAGGCACTTCGTCCAACATTTGGATCCTTGGCAATGTTCAAAACATGTCCAAACTCGGAAGATGCAGGATTCTCGTCCAATGATGATATGTTCATAAGAGGAATCTTGAGTTGTCGATTGACATCGATAAGGGCATACGTCTTCGAATCGGCCACACATGCTATGGAGTCTCGCCGTACGGAAAGAGTGGTGCCAGCAAACTCGATGTTCTGAAGAATGTGAGTGCAAGCTCTGCAGATTCAATGACGGAGGAGCCGTATCATACCCTGACAGCGCGCACTTCTTCGTCGATTCTCACGACTTGTATCCGCCTATTGAGAGAAAGGAGAACTGTCACCGTCTCGCCCGTGTTCGCAACAACGTCACCCTGGCCGTCCTCGTTTAAGTCGACGCCGCCGATCCAGGCACAGTTCTTGACCTGCTTAGACCCAAACACCGGGCTCAGCTCCGGGAGAGAGTAAAAAGTGACAGTCCCATTGCATAATATGCACGCCTTGCCCACGCGAGGCAATAGCAGGATTTGCTGGACGCCAGATCGTGAAGTGGTGTTTTCGGCAAAGGCAGGCGAGAGCCTCGAGGCTGGAATAAAGACTGGCCGGCCGGACTTGTCGGAGGGATCTGGAGGAATGCTGACAAAGTGTAGAAGCTCGGCGGCGGATGTGCCAACGTAAAGATTGCCATCTGCGCCGGGGTCAGCGACATGTGACTACACAGAGGCTGCCGCGGCAGTCGAGAACAAAGAGCATGGCGCACGAACCGAAATACTCGACGCAGTTGATCTTAATGCCGTCCTGAGAGCCGTCGGCCGACAGCGGCACCGAATCTACCCACGGCTGCAGCGCATAGGGCCCGTCTTGCGGATCCGCGGCGATGCTCGGCGAGGCCATGGATGACGATGATGCCCCTCCACCCGGGCCATTGGATGTCATGACAGTGTTTCTGTTGCTGGCGGTGTCATCTGAACACCTGAACCATGATGTCTAGCCAAGAGACGCTCCTGGACGGAGGATCCGGCGGGAGCAGCGCGAGGGAGAGAGGAAGCGACAGAGGCCTTGCCCACGGATTGAGGTCTTAACGGTTGGTGGTGGTGACGACTGCGCCAGCCTTTCGCTGAGCTCTGGAGAGCTGCCGAGCTAGTGCGGGCGAGGCTGAGGTGGGGCGCCGCTAGCCTCCCGCGGCGAGCCTTTAGCAGTGGGCGGTGCGCTGTTTGCGCTGTCATTCCGGGGCACCAGCGCCTGGAAGCTGGCGCAAGGCACCGCCAGATTCGATCGCTACAACCCTGGACCTTTGATTCTGGCTACGTCAGCCGTTTCACAACACACGCATCTGCTGGCCCTGATCCGCGGACTCGGATAGCACAGCTCGAATACCTCAATGCTTGGGCGATCGATTGGAACCTCACTCCGGTAGCTGTGCAGAGACAAACGGACGACGGCTCAGGCACCATGTCCAACGACGCAGAAGGGGCTGCCGCGGTGACGGCTGTGGCGCAGAGCAGCGGCCCTGATGCTGATGCCGGGGGGAACAAGTTCTCGCATGCCATCTCGGCGTGGAGGAGTACGTGAAGCATACTGGAGCAGCATTTCAATTGACTGTATCGCCTCTGACCGTGGTGCGCAGATGTCGACCTGACGAACCTCATCTCCAACCTGGACAACACGGCATCGGAAATCGTCACGTATCAGCGGGACTCGACGGTGCAGCGCAAGGAGTTGGCACAAAAGACAAAGGACTTTCGGAAGCTGGACGATGCGACAAAGTTGACAGAGATCAAAGGGCTTCTCAAAGGTGCGGTTTACCCGATGCCGACGACGCCCGCGTTCTACAAGGATGACAGCACACTGACACGGCACGACCGCAGCATACCAAACCTTCATCGACCTCCTCACGAACCACTCCAAGTCGGTCAATTCGGCGTTCCTCAAGGCCTACAGCTCGCTGTCGGAAGCTCCCGACCCGTATCCATTACTAGAAGCCGCGGTTGATTCGATGCTGGTGTCCGAAGACACGCTACCGAAAGTCACAGAAGAAAACCAGCGCCTGCAAAAGAGCGTCTCTAAGCTTACGTCGCAGCTCGAAGAATCCGAGTCTCGACTTCAGAGCGAGCGCGCTGCCCGAAAGGAACTCGAAGATCAACTGGAGAGTAAGGTTAAGGAAGTGGAGACGTCATGGGTCGCCGTCCTGGACGAGAAGAAGGATAACTGGGAGGCCAAGGAAAAGACGCTCGAAGAGAAGATTGCGAACCAAGAGCGCCTGCTGAGCGAAGTAAAGGCCAACTACGAAGTCAACCAGCGACTAGGCAAAGCCGGAGGCGAAGATCAGGATGGCCAGCGTACTGGGGCTTTGAACGCGGAGCTGGAGATGCTCCACGCCGATCTGGAGAGGACGAGCTCTCGGCTGGCCGAAGTAGAAGCGCGCAATGAGCAGATGAGACTCGAGCTTGCTCAGGCCAAGTCGTCACAACAGACCCAGTCAACATCCTTGGAGGATGACCCTGGATACATGCGCATGCGCTCGGAAAATTCGTCTCTGGTCCGCAAGCTGGAAGCGGCCAGGGTAGAAAAGGAAGGACTGAAGCGCGAACTCGACAGCAAGCTACGATCTATACAGAGGGAGGTGGCTTTGCTGAGGGAGGAAAAGGAGTCCCTCAAGGCAAAGGTTGACAAGTGGGCCGACTACGAAGACGTCAAACAGGAGCTCGAGGTGCTCAAGAGCATCGAGTTCTCGACGGGCGACGACGATGAAGCAGCGCAGGAGATTGAAGGCGTTGCCAGCAAGGGAGACACGCTGGAGAAGCTGTTGCTGGCACGCAACAAGAAGCTCAATGATGAGCTGACGATTCTCCGCGTTTCGCATCAAGACCTGCAGCGCAGGTTGGAAGATATCCAAGAGGAGCTTTCGAGGACCAATGCGGAGCTGGAGAAGGCCCAGAACCTGAACGAGAAGCTGGAGAGCGACTTGGAAAGTCTCCAGGCGGAGGGGGCGAATGCTTTCCCGTCTGGTGCGTCTGTTGCCGGCACCTACATCACCCGGGCTCAGGGGCGCAAGGGGGGGAGGATCTCACCCACATCATCCATCATCAGCGGGATAGATCCTCGAACGACATCGGGAGAGCGCGAGCCAATGGGAGGCGGCTCAGGCATCCTGCCCATGGTGACGGCACAGAGAGACCGCTTCAGGAAGAGGAATGCCCAGCTGGAGCAGGAGCTTTCAGAAAGCCACCGTGTGGTGCAGCAGCTGCGACAGGAAGTAGCCGCTCTGCAAAAGGACAATCTGAACCTCTACGAAAAGACGAGGTACGTGTCGACGTACAGCCGAGGGGGGGCAACAACGTCGTCGTCATCGGCCTACGCAACGAATCCCAACCCGTCGACGGTCACAATTGGCGGGTCGGGAAACCCCGGCATGGAACTGGATCGGTACAGGAAGGCGTACGAGTCCAACATATCGCCGTTTGCGGCGTTCCGCGGCCGAGAGTCTGCCAGAGCGTACCGGCGCATGAGTCTCCCTGAGAGGGTGGTGTACTCGATCACGCGCATGGTTCTGGCGTCGCGGACAAGCAGGAACCTGTTTGCCGCGTACTGCGTGGCACTCCACGTCCTCGTCTTCTTCTCGCTGTATTGGATGGGGACGTCAGACATTGAGAGGCACGCGAGCAATTTCGGGTCATCAGCAGCAGCGGCTGCGGCGGGGGCTGCTGCTGCTGATGGAGGGGGAGTAGGTGGAGGAGCGGCAAGCGGAGGAGGTCATGGAGATTGGCATGAGGATGGTTTTGATGGGTGATGATGCTGAACGGGAAAGGGCTGATAGGAGGAGATGCTTCTGTGCTTTTGGATATCGACCATGTCACATGTATTATACACGCGGAGCCTCATTTCTTTGTTTGCTCGTTGAGTGGCGCCTTTGGGATGGTGGCTGGATTGTCATGGTGGAATAAAGAGTGTAAAGAGAGAGAGAGAGAGAGAGAGAGAGAGAGAGAGAGAGAGAGAGAGCCGATCGTAGGTGCTTGCTATCTTGTCTCATCGTACATGGTTTAAACACTCCGTCTTCAAACCGAATGCCTCACTCTGTGCGGGGCCAACGAACTGCTGCGAATGGACATTGAGGAAGCCATACAGAGTGGGCGTAACATGCAATCAAGTGGAGGACCTACTATACTGTTCCTACCCTTGAGGCAGGCGATTCTATGAATAAATTGCTTAGACGCCGGCCACTGAGCGCGGCCCAAAGAGGGAACTCTGAAGAGATTACGCAGTCAATATATGTAGTAGTAGTAGTAATCATAGTAAGGTATAGTATGTGCAGACGCGCCCACTTGAGTTATCCTCGGTTCAGGCCATCTATCGATTGGACACGACGGATTGCTTTCTGGATGATCTAAGCAAATCAGTCAAGGTCTTGGCCCATTCTTCCTCCTGCACGACATACATACCCTCATGATCCAACGCACAAAGGCAGAATGAAGTCAAGGTCAATAAAATACTACTAGTACTACCACCCAAACCCACCAACTGTTCCAGGTATCTTTCCGGAAGTGTGGGTTGCAATGAGTACGTAGGAGAGAGATCGGGAGGAGGCGAAGGGGGGGATGATGATGATTGGCCTTGCAGAGCGAGATCTCCGATTTCTATTTCTGTACCCCGTAGCCTTGGGCCATTCCCATTGGTAGCGGACAAGGGATTCAGAAGGAAAATGGTTCGATTTTTGCTTTCTGCTGTAGGGATCTATGTATGTACAACAAGTGTGTACTATTTTCTGCGTGTAGCCGCCGCTTGGAGATTCCGGCGAGCCGCGATGGCGAGAGTGTGTGGGAGGGTAGAAGGGATTGATTGGGTCCTAGTCTATGTGGTTTGTCTTGGAGAAGAGATGATGAAGAGGTCAGTCTGGGTTTCTGGTTTCTGGTTCTTTCACGGGAGGCCATTGAGGTTCAATGGGGCGTGTATATCAAGTCGTGCCTTGGCACTTTGAATGGCATCATGTGTTTCTGGTCTGAGACTCTGCAACTCGTTATATGCTCTCTGTCGACACTCACCATCCTCAAGCAAACGCCGCCAAGAAGGGACGACTGTTCGTATGTATGCAATCTACATGGTTCCACACCAAAAGCTTCACATGTCCACTTGTATATCCTCATCTACTAATCTTCGTTCCAGCTCGTTCGACCAGCCCAGGCGCTTAGAACCTAAACCACTGCAACGTCAACCACCCCTGCCAACCAATCACCACCCCAGCCCAAGCCCTCAACCCCTGTCATGCGCGCCTCAACCGTCGACATGTCTCGGCCAATCAATCAACTTTGGGCGGCAAACCTGCCCAGTTAGACAAAGAAGTGCGAAAGGGCAACCTACTTTCCCTTTCCACCCTTGGCTTGCAAGCATTTTCCACGCTGTAAATCTCTTGGGTGGTATTATTGCTTTTCTAACGATTTTATTTAGAAGCAATTTTGATTACATGCATTACATTGATTCTTTGGCGCCGGATCGGATGGCGGCAAGCATGTCCAAGATTCCCCCAACCCATGACGAGTGGCCCAGCCAGCAAACAGAAGCGCAACAAAACATGGCCATTGAAAATTGATTGCTGAACCAAGCCAAGATATGGACAGGGGCCGCATGATCTAGTACTACGTAGTAAAGAGGGAAGCGTAGATTCGGGAGTGAGACATGGGGGGTCGTTGTGTTGGTTTATAAAAGAGGTTGGGTGGCCGCTTTTGTTTCCGAGGCCTCTTTTTTTTCCCCCCTTGGTAGAATCATCACCTTTTTGCTCGAACGTCTCTTGCATTACTATTTCCTTTTTCGTCCTTTTCTTTTTTATTTTCCTTTTATTTTCCTTTTTGGTTTATTTTCTTTTGTGGTTTCCTTTTGGGTCCAGGTTATCAATCTATTACTACGTTCATCTCTTACGTCTTCGGTAAACAACAACAGCAGAAACTACATCAACTACTATCGTCGGCTGGTCCTCGGTTACGATTGCGATTTCCTCATCATCATCCGCCAATCTGGTTATTGGACTCGAACCTGAAAAGAAACAGCAATTTAAAACAAAGCTCAAAGAACAAAATCGTCTCTACATACGAAATGCGTCCCTCAACTATCCTCGTCTCGTCGCTGGCCGTCTTCGGAGCTCGCGCCGCTCCGGCACAGCCCAAGATCGACCTCGACAACATCAAGAATCCCGCCTCGGCAGTCAACTCTCTCACCGAGTACTTCAACCTCGTTGCCGCAAAGACCGAAATTGCCAAGGTGCAGCCGACAGCCCAGTTGTGTGACATTTCCAAGTCTCAGATGCCCTCCGGTAAGTCCCTACATGTTCACAGTCGCCTCGGCCGAGAAAAGCCTGATACGAGACCAATGGCTAACAAGAACATCACAGTCGACGGGCTTCTCCCCCCTCCGTCTGCAAACTTGACCGTCAAGCACGTCGCCATTGGCCGGGGCACGCAGAACTACACCTGCGACACCAGCAAGCCCGACGCTCCGCCCGTCGCCACCGGCGCCCTGGCCACGCTCTTCAACGCCAGCTACATCGCCTGCGTCTCCCAGGACCTGCTGCAGAAGGTGCCCAACATGGCCGTCAACTTCAACTTCGATGCTGCCGCCGCTGGTCCCGGGCCCCTCGGCCCGATGACCCTGGACGTGTCCGGCCACCACTACTTCCTCGACACCACGACGCCCTTCTTCAACCTGGACACGCCCGCCCTGGACATTGGCACCGTTCCCTGCGCCAAGAACAGCAGCATTGCTGCGCCGTCCAGCTCGGCGTCGGGGCCTGATGGCCAGGCCGCGGTTCCCTGGTTGAAGCTCACGGCCAAGAACGGCACGACCGGCAGCATCAGGGAGGTGTACCGGATCAACACGGCTGGAGGCAGCGCCCCGGCTACGTGCCAGGGCCAGCCAGCCAACATTCAAGTGCAGTATTCCGCAGTGTAAGTTCCTCCATATGGTTTCATCAAATCCGGGTTTGTTGCGGTGCTGACAAATTTGCCTTTAGATACTGGTTCTGGGGAAGCAACTAAAGCAAAAAGCGAGTGTGGCGGTTGATGATGGACATGATGGATAGACTGCGGCTATTCCTTGAGATTCCAGTTCCTTGCAGTGCTTGGTCAGAGGCTTTTTTGTATTATATCCTGGCTTTATTTTGTTTCTTGCCCCGGCCTCGAGCTTCAGCCTGGGCATATATCATTAATGATCTGGGGGGTCGGTTAGCGTTTTGTTCTTTTCAGAAAATGGATCGAGAGTGGTGCCCATGTATATATAGTACGGAGCAGCTAGACAGTTGACACGAACATATCGGGAAAAAATCGATAAACAGGGAATATTTTCTGAGAAAAGATTCCAGTGTGCTACAGTGGTCCATGAGTAAGATGAGGAGCTGTGCTATGGTACGGTTGGGCGTCGCGGATGACGGGGATACAGAGTCGAGCCAGCCGTTGCAAGTGGCAAGAGCCTCTCTAATCGTTGCCCTTGAATGATGATGGCAATGTTACAAACGGATGGTATCAAGATGGTCATATGTGAGCAGAGTCAGCTGGTGAAGACTGAGAGTACATACAGAGTGTGGACATGGGCAGAATTTCTGTGTTGATAAATCTTCAATCATGGCAACGTCTGGCAATGCGAAAACGGACACACTGGAGACCGCATCGAGATTAGGTTGATGCTAAACGAAGCGAGAGGTTAGCCGAGGAGTCACTGTACTTTCCATCAGGCGAGCAGTAGCGGCTCATGTCGAGTATGGATACTCCTTCGCCAACATCAGGCAATGCTTGGCGCCGGCCCTGGACCCGCGGCCGCTAGCAGGACCGCTAAATCGCCACTCTAGCGCTAATCCGAGCACTCTCCAGGGCATGGACCCTCTGTATCCCCGCCGCCTCCGCGCTGTGCTGTGGTGAATCTCGGGAGGATCGCTAGTGCCGGGCCCGTGCAAGGAACATGGACGTAAGGTACGGGCAGTCTTAGTCGATGCACAGGGACAGAGTAATAATATCGGGGGGTGGCCATCACAGTCATCCAGGGAATGTGATATCGTCATATCAGATGCCGTGATCTGTGACTTCAGGTTCCTGCTTTGAAATCTGCAGATGGCGTTGTCGGCTTGCCTTCGTCGGCGGGTGCCTGTGGTCTGATATGCCTCTCAGAAGGGCGGACCTGAAGCTAATAATGGCTCTAGGCTGCGTCGACTCGGACAGCTTCGACTCCTGGCCATGGAATGGATGTGACCTCATTCATCGAATACAGCCCCTTGCCTCTTAATCTCCTCACGGTTCTTCAGTCAATCGAACCATCAAGGCGACATATCTGTGACCTTCCCAGCTACTCTTTCTCCTTCCGTCTCTAGGCCTTCTTCCCGGAGCCAAATGAAGCAACCAGGCCAGATCCCAGCCCGTGAACATCTCCATTGCCACTTCACTGCAAAGCTTCAGGCTCATGTTGTCTCAGCAGAACACGGCAGATAATACCCGCCCGTGTCTCACAAAACCGGATATTACTACTCTCGTCCGTAGCAGTACCGATACACTCTGGCAGCTGGCTAGGGGGCTATTGGTACTTGTACAGGAAATGGTTCTCATGTTGATATTACTAAAGTCGATCCAAGAAGAGAAATCCATCGCAGCTGACCGTGATCGCATGTCAAGGGAGAGGCCATCCCAGCTGATGTATGGAGTACTTCATGTTCCTACCGACCAGTGCTACAACTACTGCGGTTCTCCTCGCATCAACACTTTCTGCCCTTCGTCTCCAACCTCCAGTCCCTACCAATGCCTCCGCCTCCTCCATAGCAGCACTCTGTCCCAGCTGCCGCAGATGCCTTTCATCGGCTCGGCCTTATCCATCGACAGGCTGCTGGGGCTGCACCTGTTCGACAGCCTCAGCGGCCTCGGCGTGGCTGGCCAGAGCCCAGGCCACAAACTCCCGCCAGCCACAGCACCCGTTAGCGCTCTTAGTGCGCCGCGCACCGCTACAAATCGCCCCGCCACGGCCGCTGCCTTCCAGCCTCTGCGATCGACCTCCCGCAACCTCAATCCTGCTTCTGCCTCTGCCTCTGCATCGCCCTTCCGCACCACCAGCGCCAGCCCGTCCTCGCTCGCATTGTCATCAGCCTTCAGCCTGCTCGGCATCGTCTCCCCCAGCGCTGAACCGTCTCCGCCTCCCCCCGAAGCTGCGTCCCGCCCGCCGGGTCCCATCGCATCGTGGCCAATGGCTCAGCTACCGGTCGAGATCTTCGAGCTCATCACTCGCTATCTGACCCGGGCCGAGATCCAGACGCTTCGCCTCGTGTGCCGGGAGTTCGAGGCCAAAGTCTCTGCCCAATACTTCCGCAATGTCGTCGTGCCCTTCCGCTCGGAGCTCTACACCAACCTCGACCGCGACGAGAACACTGTCATCGCGTCGCGCCTCTTCTCCAATGGCATGCGCATCTTCGAGTCCTTTGGCCCTCACATCCTTCGCTTTGCCCTGTCGCTTGAGCTGGACGAGTTCACGCTGGCCTATCCGCCTGTGAAGCCTGCCCAGGAGGCCGTGCCCGCCTTCTGGGGCATCTATCGATGGCCTCACGCAACCTACCACCGCTATAGGGACCTTGAGGGCCTGGAGCAGACCGCCGATGAAACCGACAGCATGAAGAAGGCCCTGCGTTGCCTGACAAAGGTTACGAATCTGGGTCTCTGCTGCGATGCTGGACTGGGCTTCCTTGTCGGCCCTGATCAGGCTGTGCAGAAGATGAATAACCCCGATCCTGTTTTCAACACAAGCTACTCCCGCCAGGAGGGTCGCTTCGAGAGCGACGATGCGGTTACCGTATCGGACTTCAATGGCATGCCGCGAGATCTTACCAGTGCCACTGCTCAGCATGATAACTTCAAGCGCCGGGTTCTGGAGAAGATGATTTCTGACGCCGGATTTGCTGGCTACTACATCCAAGAAGCCATTGACCTGCTGCTCGAGACCGAGGGCGTGACGCTCTCCAATATCGATTTTGATGAGCGAGAAGTCATCGTCGATGAGCAGCCGCCGCCGCCACCAGCTGCGCATGATAGACGGACCATCCGCAGGCGGTGGCTCAACCAGCCGCATATGGCGCCGCAACAGCAGCAGGCTGCGCAACCGCAGGTGCCGGATATGCAAGGGCAGGGCCAGGAAGGGCTCGGTCAACCGCATCAGCACTTGCCATTACCATTGGACGCAGATACGAATCCGTTTGGCCTTGCCTTTCAAGACCCTCCTGGCCCGGTACCAGCACCGGCCCCGGCTCCGGCCCCGCCTGTAGTCATGGCTCAGTCTCAGCCTCATCGCCAGCGCCGGGCTGAGAACCAGTCCTCCTCGCGGGACTCGACGTCAGATCCCAACAGCCGACAGCCTCTCATCCCAACCAACCTCACGCGGGCACAGAAGGAGCTGCTTCTCGAGTTGGAGTGGGCCCATCGTGCCATGATTCAGTCCTATGTGATCAGCATCATCGATAATGCTCAAGATGGCTGCTTCAGCAACCTGACCAACATCACCATTGCCAAGATTCCAAGCGCTCACGTCCACATCCTGTGCCGCAAGGAGCTCTGGGAGAGTATTCCCAAAGTCAAGAACGTCTCCCTGGCCGTCATTGCGGACTGGAGAAGGATTTCCAAGCCCTCCCCTGGTGTTGTGGCCGACACGCACGTGTCTCCCCTTGATGCCGTGAGCAAGGTCTACAACCTTCTCAACCATTACATTGGACAGCAGCAGAACATTGAGACCCTTCACTTCGAGTGGATCTGCGGCGGGGAATTTGCCAGGGGCCCGTATCAGCGCAATCAATACATCTTGCCGGCCCCTTTCGCTGATTCGCCAGAGCTGATGAGCTCTGTTGACGGCGCAAAGGACCCTGACAGGCTCTTGGACCTGCCCTATGTCAAGGAGTTCTCTCTCAAGAACTGCTGGGTCTCCCCGCATGTTTTGATGCAGACCATCCGTAACATGGCGCTGCACTCCCTTGAGCGGCTGGAGTTTGAGTCCGTCTCCCTTTCGGGACCGCCCGTCTTTGCCTCTCAGCCAGTCAATGTTGCCCAAGTTGCCGAGGATGTTGGCCTTCCTCTTCCGCCAATCTTCCCTGGTGGTGTGGCTCCCATGATTGCAGGCCCCGTTGGAGAACCGGCTGCTGCCATGTTCGTCCAGCCACCCCCGGCGCCTCAGCCGCCATCCGACGAGCAGCAGAGCGATAGGCTTGTGTTGCCGGAGCTGTTCTCCTGGGCCGGCTTCTGCGAGCACTTCAGCCCTGGCATCAAGATGCGCATGCTTCCCCGATTCCGCGAGACGGCGATCGATGGAACCGTCAGGCCAGAGGACCTCGCTTTGCCCCTGGAAAAGGACCTTGCCCCTTTTCTACCGCATGCCGACCAGCTCGCTGCTGACGAGACTCAGTACAACTTGAGCTCAATCACCTTCAAATCGTGTGGCTATGTCTTCCTTGACGTGCGCAACCTCGACTTCAGGGCACTTCTGCCTCCTGAGGGCCAAGCTGCCCATGCCTTTGTCAACAGTCTCCGGCATGACATCTTTCACTCTATGCAATACTGCAAAGATAAGCTCCTCGGCCGTATTCTGCCGTACATTCTGCCTTCGGAGTGGAAGACGCTTGAGACCGTGTTCTTGATGGAGCGGGGCTGGGGCAACTTGTACAGCTCGCGGGTGTCCGACGATGCCATTGCCGACGGATTCGAATATCCGGGCATGGGCCGCTTTTCTGGGACCGTGGAGAAACTCGACGATGCTCAAGACATCGAGATGCTTGGATAGTTTTCCATTTCCTTGTTGTCTTGTTTACTTTGACGATTTTTGTCTCCTCGCCACTTTACATGTCCTTTAATAATTGGCTCGCATTCTGTTGGACCGGATTCCGGATGGATATGACGGCTTGGAAAAGGAGACTGGGGAAAAGCTTCACACGCTGTCCCCTTTACTTGCATTGCCCCTCGGCGTTCTTTTTTTTTCTTTCGCACTCTAGCACAATGGTTTGCCCCTCTGTGTTCACGAGTTCCTTCACTTATGATTGTCAAGACACACGCTCCAGGCTACCTGACTGGCCTGAGATACAGATTATGTTGCTTAGGGTTACTACACGAGCAAACGAACTTGAAGAAAACGATACCCTGTGAGAACCGAAATTCCGGGGTAATGCCCATGGAAATTCTTTCGAGCCCTTCGGTCTCATGTTAACTCTACTCTGTGTTTGAAAATGACTGACAGGCCTCGATGAAAGACGATGATGAGATATATCTGAAGGCTTTTCCCCTTCAGTATTTATCCTTGCCAGATGAGACAATGTGGCCGGAATTCACGGCACTGACGGACGAACTGCAATGATTCCACCGACGCCATGAGATGCTTTGTTCGAGTTCAGACTTCTGCTCCTGAACCATGGCGGATATACCTTGTTTCTGTCTTGGAATAGAGAGGATTGCTACCGGTAAGATTATGGAAATGGATTCGACCTTATAGACGAAGGATATCTGTGTTTCACTCCTGAGAAACGAAGCAGGAAACAAAGGCTGTCCTGGACGACGCCTCGCATTGAGCCTCCAATGAGAGGTATTTGTGGCTTTGGACATTGAGATTGAGGCTACGGATCTGCGTAGCTATCTGGACTGGGCTGTGCTGGCTTGGAAAGGACGAGTGGTTGAATTGTCATATGCAAGGACACTGAACTGGATGTTTGTATGAGTCTTTGTTCGAGATACGAATCTATATGATTGACACGGCTGCAAATCAAGTTCTCCATGTTGCATTTCACATGAGACCATAAGACCAGATCACGACGTCATCATGCACAGCTTTGCTTGGGGGGTGATTTGTTTATGCTTTTTTTTTTTTTTTAAATTTCATTTCATTGGGTTTTTATGCATTGCAAAGTTTTGGAATTCCCTTTTTAAAAAAAGATTGCCATGCAACGGACACCCTCCATTCCCCGTAGCCTGCCATACACCAGGAGATGAAAAAGCCACGAAAATATGATTCCCTTTTTGCCTGCCTCTCATCCACCAACAACAAGAGGGAGAAGAGAAAGAACAAACAGGGGAACTTTTGTTTCTATGTATGGTCGCCCTTTGTTGTCCTCTCTCCCTCTGTCCCGTCTTTTGTTTTTTTCTTATCAGGACGCTCTTTAAGAGTGTTCCAAGAAAGAAAAGTTAAAAAGAACGCTGCTCGCACACCTCCTTCTCCCGCACGCACACGCCGTTTCACCCGTTCGTTTTGTCTAAATTTACGCGGCGGTGATGGCCTTGCGGGCGCGGACGGCGCGCTGGCGGGCGGTGAGGCGGAGCTGCTCACGGCCGGCAACCTCCTCGGACTTCTGGACGACCTCGTCACCCTCGGTCAGGATGAGCTCGATGTGGCAGGGGTTGGACATGTAGGGGTTGATCTGCACGTTTTATCTCGATTAGCGACTCAAACAAAAAGCAAAGATGGGCCCTGCCGCCTTTTTCTTCACATCGCTTCTTGGTTTTCGAAGAGCAGGCTCTGGCTGTTGGAATCGAAGTGGGGAGAAAGGAGTATACGTACACGACCGTGGGCACGGTACGTCCGTCTTCGCTGCTTGGGGGCCTGGTTGACCTGGATGTGCTTGACGATGAGGGCACCGGTGTCGAGGCCCTTGGCATCGGCGTTGGCCTCAGCGTTCTTCAGGAGACCGAGGAGGAACTCGGCGGACTTGACGGGCCAGCGGGCGCGGGTGACGCCGAACTGCTTGCCTGTTTTTTTGCGAGAACGCATCCGTCAGCATGGCTCTTCTATACAGCGCCCCAAATGACTTCAAAGTCTTTTGTTTTGTCTTTCGAGATAACATCCTTCGCCCATCTCCCTTTGCTGCAAAGTTTCCTCTGAGCTCAACAAGACAAGGAATTTCCCCCCAAATGATGTCGTACCTTGGGCGGTGCGGCCAGTGCCACCGGCATATCGTCGCATGGGGACGGCCTCCTTGTGCTCCTTGACGTTCTCGAGGAACTGGACAGCTCGCTGCAGCTTCCAGCCGTTGATGGCCTGGGCGGTCTCGCGGGTGTTCTTGAAAGAAACTCGGAGGTAGGCACCGCGGGCGCGGGCCGATTTCGCGGGCTGAATCTCTTGGGCGGCGTATCGAACCTGCAGTTTTGCGCAACGATCGGAAAAAAAGTCAGTCATCTTGATTCATTTCCTCCGTCCGTCATCTTCGCATGGACAGAGGCACAGTTCTCTCGCCGATCATGATGTTTCCCCCAAGATTGGCCCAGATGATGCAATATGCTCCAACAGCAATCCAACTTGAACCATTCAAAAGTCCCCCCTCTTCCAGCATCTCTTCAAAAACATCAATCGGGCGAGGGAGCAAAGGGGGCAGGCACTCACCATCTTGACGGCTTCTGTGGTGGTGACTGCTTCGACGACGTGGGTTCGCGGGCCTGGAGTTGAGAAATTCTGAACTTTTGCCCTAGAGCGCTGGGCGGACCTCAGTCTTCGCTTACCGCTTCGGGACTGTTAGGGTTTCTCTGCCCTGGTCCAATCAGGTGGCGCGCTCACTTACAGAAACTTGCAGGTCACTGCGGTCACCTACAATGTACCGGCAGAGAGTGTAGGGAAATGCGTCAAAAGTACCACAATTCGGTGCGAATAAAGTAGATGAGCAAAGTCAACTGTTTCGTAGTCTTCAATTCTTCAAATACAACTTTGACCAACTCAAAAGCATCAGGGCAGCTGCTCAATTTTTGTAACGAAACGGAGATTTCGTGCGCACAACCAGACTTCAAAGTCACATGACATGTAAGATGATTCAGCGTTGTCAATGCACGTGATGATTACTTCAGCAGGCTCGATCTTTTCTTTTCTCTTTTCTCAAAATCGTCGGAACAATGTCGGTGCGTCACGCTCCACCATCGAGCCGGCCTGGCCAATAATGGCCCAAAGGTGGACCCTGCGACTAAAGCTTCTTGCGAAAAGCTTCAAAAATTTCTTTCTCGCAGAGTCTCCCAGAAACAACGTGTTTGGCAGACCCGAACAAAGGCAACTTCAGCCTTTTTGCGTCAATCCAGACACCCGCAGTCTCACAGACGCAATCTCTGCTCGATTCGGATTCCTGATCTAGCAGATTCCAACTTTCTTCTCAACTTCTCAATCCCTACGTCGATTCCAAAACTTCTTCCATCCATCCCACTATCTTTCAGATGGCTCCCTTCACTGCTCGGGGTGGTCGTGGCGGCGCCGGTGGCCGTGGAGGAGCTCCTCGCGGCGGTCGCGGAGGCTTCAGCGGCCGTGGATCTTCCAACGGTGTTAGAGGTCGAGGTACGCTCGTCATCCAGAGGCGCTTGCGATTGTCAGGACTCGAGGGCTAACAGAAATCCTACAACAGGCGGCGGTGGTCGCGGTGGCCCTGGAGGTCGCGGTGGCCGAGGTGGTCCTGCTCGTGGAGGACGAGGCGGCCGTGGCGGTGGTCGCGGCGGTGCTGGCGGCATGAAGGGCGGTGCCAAGGTCGTCATTGTACGTTGAAAACCCCCCAAGATCTCACGACCTCTTGGACAGAGGGCGCCGAAGAAGAAATTTGTGACTGACTTGAAGCGCTCTCGCTTGAATAGGAGCCCCATCGTCACGCTGGCGTCTTTGTCGTCCGTGGCGGCAAGGAGGACGGCATTGCTACCCGCAACCTGACCCCCGGCGAGTCTGTCTACGGCGAGAAGCGCATCAGCGTTGACGAGGAGGTCAAGAACGAGGACGGAACCACCACCACTACCAAGGTCGAGTACCGACTTTGGAACCCCTTCCGAAGCAAGCTGTGCGCTGCCATCGCCGGTGGTGCGGATGACATCTACATTCGCCCTGGCTCCCGCGTGCTGTACCTCGGTGCTGCCTCCGGTACCTCCGTCTCGCACGTTGCCGACCTCGTTGGCCCGACTGGCTTCGTCTACGCCGTCGAGTTCTCCAACCGCTCTGGCCGTGATCTCATTGCCATGGCTGCCAAGCGACCCAACGTTGTGCCCATCGTCGAGGATGCCCGTCAGCCCGTCCGCTACCGCATGGTTGTCCCCATGGTCGACGTCATCTTCGCCGACGTTGCCCAGCCTGACCAGGCCCGTATCGTTGCCATGAACGCCAACTGGTTCCTCAAGCAGGGCGGTGGTGTCCTGATCTCCATCAAGGCCAACTGTATCGATAGCACAGCCCCCGCCGCCGAGGTCTTCGCCAGCGAGGTCCAGAAGATGCGTGCGGAGTCTATTAAGCCCAAGTACCAGCTGACCCTGGGTAAGACGAGCCGAAACCCTTTGATTTTGCCAGACAGGCCTTCCACAGAGCCACAGAAGCTAACATACTTTCTTTAGAACCTTTCGAGCGTGATCACTGTCTTGTCGCAGGTATCTACATGCGCAACGAATAAGCCAGCCGCTCTTTCGCCAAAATCAGCATGTTTATACATATACCGGCTTGTAGAAAAGCCCTGGTTGACGACTGAGGAAATCATCCTGTCGAGAATATCGATGCTTTTCGCCGGATTTGTCGAAATGCACGCCGCGTTTCGTCAGATTCGTCAAAGCCTCAGGTTTTCGTCAAGACCAATCTTTCTCTCTTTCCTCAAAACAGGTCCGCTACACTACATCTCTGCATGAAACACTAGACAGAGAGAGAAGAAAGGAAAATACCAGGGTTCGACCGATTCTTTCTGCCTCAGGAAGGGAGGGGGAATGAAACTCACATTTAATGGCAACTGGGGGCGTTCCGGATTTAAAGGGAGGAAAAATCTTTGCTGCTGCTGTCTTGTTTTATATCAGCTTTTTGAGCATTTCGTTGTTATTCTTTTTATAGGGTGTTTAGGGTCCTAAATGCAAAAAGAAATGCTGCTAATTTCAACGCGGAGTTCACTACTCCTACTCTTACTCCTCTTCTATCTTCTTGTGATATAACCTACCCAGCAGCCGGAGAGGGCTTATTGTCCATCCCTTCAGAGTCTGTAAGCGGTTATGCCAGGGCGTTTTTTCTAAGCTGCTGGTTAGCTATAAGAAAAAGTACACTTTTAATTGATTCGAAAATCAGCTCTGCTAAGGTACATACCTCGGTCGTGATTCTTGTCAGACTCGACACGACAAGGCTCTGTTCCTTAAGATAAAAGCTTTGATAGCCCACATCGCCCTTATTGAAGAAGTTTCTTAATAACACATAACCTCTTTTCAGTTGAGGAATTTTGGAACACTTCAAAGAATCACCCTGATTTACGGTTTGCATTCTCACTATTTCAACAATCAGTCTGAAACTGCTCAGCTGAAGATAAGCATTTGATCCTTGGTATCTCTCGTCTTATCATTACTCCATGTGTACCCTGTCCTACGCTAAAACGCCTGATATTGTCGTCCGATCCCATGTGCATATACTCATACATAGTTTGATCCCACCATTTCCCCTAGTTTTGCATCATTATACCGCCAATTGTCGCCGTCTGAATTCAAACTCGGCGTTGGCGTCCGGCCCCTTGGTCATGACCATCGCCATGGGCTTCGGCCGCTGATCACCCTTCTTCAGTCTCACCTCGTAATGGATGAGGAAGAAGGCAAGAACAAGCTTGATCTCGTTGCCGGCAAAGAATCGACCAGGGCAAGCGTGCTTGCCGGCTCCAAAGTTGAGGTTCGTATCGCAAAGGGATGTAAACTGCCAGCGGTTGCTCGCTTCGGCCGACTGTTGCCTCATGTTGTAGAATCGCAGCGCGTCAAACTCTTCGGGGCTGTGATAAAACTGTTCGTCGATAGAAATACCGGCCTGGGGAGCCAGTACTCTCGTTCCCGCGGGAAGATGCGTGCCATCTGAAAGGTCGATCGGTTTCAGGACTTTTCGAATGAAGGATGCTAATCAGGAGTTAGATTTGCCCAGGTAACAGAGAGAGGAGACACTCACTGATGTTTCCATGGAGCCGCTGGACCTCGCGCATGAAACTGTCGAGCTTCTTCAGTTTGGCCATGCTCTCCTTGCGGGCCCAGCCCCCTTCCACCTCCAGTATCTGATAAGCCTCTTCACGTAATTCAGCCTGTACTTCAGGGTGCAAAGCGAGATCGGCCATGCACTCGAACAAGAGGTTGTTGGTGGTGTGAATTGACGCGGCAGCTAAGATGAGCTGCAGTTCGGCGTGAGTCTGGACGTCTGCTTTTTCCTCCTCGGGTAAAGCTTCGATAAGCCACTGCATGAGGTCGTTCGGAGGGTCGTGGAAGCTCGAAATCTCCATGTCACGTATCCTTTCCTGCAGCAGAGGCTTAAGCAGGTACTTTGCGGTGTCGATATCTCGTCGTATCCTGCGCAGGTCCGACACGACATACTGGGCGACAGGCCGAGCCCACTCTGGGAATAGCTGCAGCTTAATCACCGACATGAAGACGTCGATGGCAAATTTGATCGTCACTTCCATCCACTGTTCGTCGCGGTTTAGTGAGGGGCCGACAAAGGCTCGACCACTCAGTCGGGCAATTCCGCGCAGAGCAAAGGGCTGCCATTTTACAGGCGTCCAGTCCTCACAAGGCGGAAACTCGGTTGCAATGTAGCTCTCGAGCTCGCTCTTCAGCTGGGGAATTAGTTCTACCAAATTCTGCGTCAATCTGGTTCGGACGAGAAGGGAGAGCATGTCTCCGTTGTGGCCGGGCGAGAATTTGGTGTACTTGGTTTGAAGGGCCTGGTCCGGTTAGAAGCCGGTAAGCTGTACACACTTGAGGTGTAACTTACATCAGCCACGGCCTCCGTAGAGCTGAGGACGTCCTCGGGCAGTCCCTTGAGCTCGGAAATGAACCTTGGGGGAATCATAGCTTGGAATCCTTCTGTAGCCTTGATTTGGTAGACTTGGTCTCGGAACTGGATCGGCAAGTAAGTCGCCAAGCGCGCCGTAACTGAGGGCACGGTTTCCCACCTTGTTGTAGCTTGCAACAATCTGTGACTCGGCGTCAAAGATCCATTTCAATTTCGAAGCTCCGTAGAATGGTACGCCGAGTTTGCAAGCCTGTGACTTTGGCCGTAAGAGCCACGCAACCAGCAGCACAACGAAGGTAGCCACATAGTAGCTAGCTCTAGGTGTCCAGGAGGCAAAGAGCGACGGTGCCCCAGCCGCTGGTTGAAAAGGCGTCGAGTTGGACTGCTGGTACATGGCGACAGAATTCGGCAAGCCGAGTGATGGTATCGAGAGACCACGAATGCTGCCGACTGGCAGATTTGGTGAGGACGAAGAAAAGCTCGGCATGCGGATGGAGAGAAGGAGGATTTCCTAATGTCTGGAAAAGAAAAGAGGGCGTTTGAGCCGAGAGAGTCTCCAAGGGAGGAATATTGCTCTCCTGCAAGGAGGATAGATGTCAGAGTGGCAATGCTGGCATTTCACTCCATTGGCCTGGAGCTGTAATCGGCACGAAAGAGTGGTGCTGGCACTAGTTATCTGAAGAGAGCGATCATCGAGGGCGGAAGCAATCAACCTCAGCCAGGCCAATATGTCCCCAGTCGACTGGGAAGTAGAGAAGAGTTCCAGTCAGCGAGTGCTGTGTGAGAATGCACCATGAAAGTAGTTGAGAGCGCAAGTGCGTGAAAAGGGCGAGATGTAAATCTAATGACAGCTAGAACAGACCAAGTTGAGTATCGACTGCGTTTCTTTTGCACTCGCCGCGTTCTCAACGCCCTGGAAAGGCGAGAGAGGCCCCATGGTAGCACCGCCAGGCGCGTGGTCGTGCAAAACGGCCATCAATCAATGACGGTCTTGTCTGAAACAGGACAAAGCATGTCGCAGAAGTTGTTCGGGAAGAGCAGCTCCCGACGCTAGCGGCAGCCCCAGAAGGGACTCTGAGGGCAGACCGGGAAGGATTTCGGCCGTTCGTCATGCGGGGATCAAGGGCGAAGATCGGACGTGATGGTGCGGGATGCATGTAAGACGGGCCAACGGCAGATGGACAAAAGCAATTCATCCGTCTGTGGCATTCAGCAGCACGTACAGTAGTCGGGCGCTGTTGACATCGAGGGGGCAGCTGGAAATAGCAAAAGTGTTAGTAGTCGAAGCCGGGGCCTTGTATGTAGATTCACTGGTGGTCTTCGCCTTGCGTTAGCGAACCAGATCTGTCACCCCTTGTTACAGGTTTGTTCGCTGAAACTAGCGCATGTTGCGCATCAGACGCGGTTCGAATCGATGCAAGGAACGACGTTGGTCCTCGTTAGTATTGCTCTGTGAGGGGATTCTGATGGAAGAGGAGAGGCATTGACTAATACGAACCCGGGTAGTGAAGCGAATGTGTCTATTTTTGAAAGTGAAATGGCATTGGTCGCAGCTGCCAGTTTTACTTGGACCCTGTTTCTGCGGACACGAGCTTTTGCGACGCAGGTACCGGTACTTCCATATGCACCAAGATGGAGTATATTCAGAGGTAGAAGAGACGGTGCTGCTCGAGCTTCCTCATCATGCGACGGCACTCGACTTGCGTCTTGACTCTTCGTTTCGTGATACCCTGCAATAGGGCTACTCTTTGTCGAAGCGTCATGCGCAATGGGCACTCACCGTGCAGCCTGATTCCCTGGAGTATGTAGAGGGCAATCGCATGATGTTGTCTTTGAGTAACGTCTAGATTTAGTGTTGTGGTGACTGCAGCGGTTCACTCCCTCTATCATCATTCTGCAGTCAAGCATCTCAACTGCCCGACTGCCTCTTTTCGCTTCACATCTGCCCATCCAAGCCCATCAAACCACATGTCTCAACTTCAATTCATTGCCCGTGCCAGTAACAAAGTGTGCCGCCAGCTTGCCAATCGGCATCGAACTCATCACCAGCCCTGTCCCACAAACACTCAACCCGCATTCACTCCGCCTCTCCCCAAACAACTCCTCACAAGAAACCCCCATTTGCCAAGCCACTGTTACGCCTGAAGGGATCCTCAGTTTCATGACCCTAACCCCCAATCCAACATGTTCCTGCAAGCAAAGTGGGACGCTTTACACATATCTCTCCCCAAACAGGAAACATTACCCATAACGCAGCATAACGACTCGGCCACCGTTTCTGCCATTTGATGGACAATGGGTGATGCCAATCCTGGAATCAGACATTTGTTAAACGGTACTTTTTACGCGATTGGGTCATGGTGATGATAGGTCCTTGAGGAAGAACGAGTAGCGGGCCGTAATCCGCGAGACAGATTGCCGTTGTTTTGCAGTTGCGGATCGATGCAGACTAATACGGAGTACAGCTACATGTCTTCAAGATGGAAGCCATTTGAATCTTCTGATGGTTCTTTTTCCCTCTTACTCACCCATGTCCCATCATCTATCTGCTTGATCAAGTAAAGCCTCGGGCGTGCCAGTTCCATGAATGACCTCCAGATCCTACTTCTCCGGGCTAGTTGCCATGCACCCCAAAAACTCACCATCGTCACTTATTCCAGATTCACACAAAGATCGACAGGGGGCATATCAAGAAGTCTTACGAACACAGGTATATATAACTGCATCTATGACTGCAAGTCTAAAGATAAGCTTAAACAACAAACTCCGGCCCATGCATTCCCATTCGTCATTTATATATATATACTATAGGTATATAACTCCCCATCCCTAGATCTCTTCTGCTCAACTTAAGCGCCGTGGACCTTGACACGCTCGTCAATGTCCTGGAAGTCCTTGGGGCCAGGCTCGCCGGCCTTTCCGCCAAAGACAAGCTGGGCATCCAGCCGCCAGTGAGCAGGCACCTTCCAGGCCTCGGCGACCTTCTGGTCGATGAGCGGGTTGTAGTGCTGCAGGTTGGCGCCGAGCCCTTCGACCTCGAGCGCGGTCCAGACGAGCAGCTGCTCCATGCCGAGGGACTGGCCGGCCCAGGGCGGGAAGCGGTCGGCGTAGATGGGGAACTTGGCCTGCAGGGCCTTTGTGGCGTCCGTGTCCTCGAAGAAGAGCACGGTGCCGGCGCCGCCCTTGAAGAGCTTGAGCTTGTCCGCCGTCGTCTGGAACTGCTCGGCGGGGACAATGGCCTTGAGCGTGTCGTGGGTGATGTCCCAGAGCTTCTCGTGCTCGGCGCCGAAGAGGACGACGGCGCGGTTGGTCTGGACGTTGAAGGAGGACGGGGTGTGCAGGGTGGCCTCCTTGACGATTTCGTGGATGCGGCTCGTGCTGATGGGCAGGTCCTTGTTCAGCGTGTAGATGGAGCGGCGCGTCTTGGCCATCTGGAAGAGGAGGTCGGCGGAGAGCTTGGCGGCCATTGTGAGGTTGTTTGGGGGGGTTGTTGTGAGAAGAGTGGTTGAGTTTGTGATGTTGGAGGCGAAGAGGAGGAATGAGCCGAAGAGGTTGGAGAGCTGAATGGTTGCGGTGGTGGAGGAGGATGAAGAAGTTGCTGTTGTTATTGCTGAGACTGGAGGGGGAGAGAACAAGGTCAGTAGAAGTCGAGGTGGATATGCTTTATACTTGTAGTCGCGACATCAAGGAGGGAGACAAAACACACACCACGACTTTGCTCTCCACGCCACCCAGGGTAGCAATCGTCACGGCAAAGCTAACAACCGCAGAAAACAATGGAGCCACTTCGAAATGTGCTTCCCCCTTCCCACGGCTATTAGGCATCATGAGCAAAGCAAAGCCAAAGCGAACCGACTCCAGTCTCCAGTCTCGGATATCCTCCCCCCACCCCCCCGACTCGCATTTCTGCCATGCACATGATGGGGCTGGAAGTGGATGTTCAACACAATCCCTGAAGGATCAAGTCGCGCGATAAGTTCAGATTTCGGTATTAACTACTAGTAGGTATGTTCGTGACTCGGAGCCACAGGGCCGCTCGTTAGCCGTTATCCGAATCCTCTCCGACTGCTGTCGTGTCGCTTTTCCGAGCCCACTGGCTTAGACACTGCTGACGAACACGACGCAAAGATGCCCGTCACAAAGTAATCGATCAGACACTCGCCAACCGGATCGCAGAACACAGACATACGAAGGGACAAACCTCAACTTCCGCTGACAAGTTTCTGACCATCGTCCCTGGATCCTATCGAATCGTCCAAACAAAGGGGGCGTTTCCATTTCTTTCAGATTCCTTCCGCCACCCCCACTAAAAAAGACGCAGAAGCCACACACACACAGAGGAAAAAGAGCCGCGCGCCGAAAAAATGGAAAGAAAATGCCAGAGATTGCTTGGGAGGGACTTGGAAATCGGATAAGTCAGCATTAATAATCGGGTGTTCGGCCCGCCCAGTGGGATCCTTGGTGGCTGCAGGGGGATTGGCTTGTGACTGTGAACCAACCTGTGGCTTCTTCTTCTTCGCATGATGGGAGACGGGGGATGAGATATGTACGTATGCCGACGGGATTCAAAGAGAGAGAGAGAGAGAGGAAGATGCTTGGGCATTATCCTCCTTTGTATAAGCAGTGTTTTCGATTCTGTACATTCAGATACTTGGGATTCTACGTCTGCACGGAGAAGAAGCGTCACAATTCACGAGCTCATTCCAAGTCGCAAACTACAACGCACCAATCTTACCCTGAAAAGTAGACGGATAGACAAAACATCCAGCGCCTCATGCGCATTCCCATACAAGGCACGAATAATATACTCCGTGACATGCACGATTCCCTCCTCCTAATCTCCATGCATCTTCTACCAATCTCATCCCTCTTCTCCTTACCCAGTTACAAGTCTAATGCCCGCTAAAGGCGTTTATAAGGGCCTAAGTGAAGCTGCTGTATGGAAAGCGCAAGCGCAGCTTTAGCGCCCTATTAGACGCAGATAATTAATATTACGCCCTGCCTGCCCTCTTTATAATTATTATTACTATTAAGAGCCTTATTATTAACAGCCTTAATAGCATATATAGAAAAAAAAGTTATAAAAAGAAGCCTTATATAGGATTTAAATGCTTAACCTTCTAGCTGCTTTATAATATAAAAGGCCCTCTTAAAGCTATAGATTATGTTTATAAGCATAGTAAGAGAGGCAATGCCTTTATACCTTTAATTACTTCTGCTAAGCACTACTATAGCTATGCTTAAGCCTAGCTAGCAGGCATAATCTGCTGCTTATAAAAGTTATTTTATTATAAGGAAAGACAGCTAGAATAGTAAAAAGGTAAAAACTCTTTATACACTAGCTTTAATATACTGCAGGCTAGATTTAAAGACCTAGTTACCTATTTTATAATACTTAGCTTTTATATAGGTAAGAAAGCTTAAAGCCTCTTTTCTAACTGCTTTTATAAAAGTTAAGCGCCTTACTATAAGGCAGTATTATTACTCTAGCTATTCTATTAAATATCTTATATATAAAAGGCAGGTGTATATATAATTAATATAATAGCTAAAGGCTGCCACCCCCCTTAAACTACTATACTAACTATAATGCTAATATCTAGCTAGTATTATAAGGAGAAGAGATATTATTACCTATAAGGGATAGGTTATAATGCTTATATACATAAGGCTTAAAAGATATTATAACGCTTATATATATAAGGCTTAAAGAAAGGTATTATAGCGCTTATATATATAAGGCTTAAAGGAGGAGATTATAACGCTTATATATATATATAAGGCTTAAGAGACTGTAAAGCTTATACACATAATGCTTAAAAGAGGTTATTATAATATTACTGCTTTAACTAAATAATAAAATGCTTAGTATTTAGCGCCTTTTAATATATAGCTTTATGCTTTATGTTTATGCTACTGTTTTAAAAGCTTCTTTATAATATAAGCAGTAGAATGCAAATTAAATAAAAGGGCATTTATAATAGTATTAAATACTAAACAGCCTTATATATTATAAATAGAATATATATATTAAGTTACTATTCCTGCTCTCTTCCCTCTTCTTCTTCCTTTATTATTATGCTTATTACCTTTATCTTTATTACCACCCTCTTTATTAACCTGCTTAAGATCTTTACTATACCTTTTAAAAAAGCTAACCTAAAAGGCAAGCATAAAGCTAACCTTAAGGGCAAGGGCAAAGCTATTATTATACTTAAGGCCACTTCCTTTAAAGTAATATATCTCCTTCTATCCTTTATATTTTTAAGCGCTAACTTTATATTACTTTTAGTAAAAGCTAAAGAAATAGATAATACAGTCTTAGGTTAATAATAATAGCGCTGGCTTATTATAAGCAGCAGTAGCAGCAGCAGCAGTAGCAGTAATAGCAGCAGCAGCAGTAGCAACCTTATAAGATCTGCTATATAAGAATTATATTAAAAGCCTTATTACTAGTAAGAAGGCAACTTCTCTTAATTAATATATAGATTTAGAGAGAAGCTCTTAGCGCTATAAGCTTTATAATAAAGGCAGCTATAAGTGTAGACCTTAATATATTCCTTCCTTTCTTCTAGACTGTTTTTACTGCTAAATATATACTATAGCTATTATTAGCTTATGCCTTTTATTTAAAGACTTAATTATGCTATTAATAAGGAAGATAAGAAGGTTTATTTATAAATTTCCTACTTCTTATACTTTATGCTAATAATACGCTAGGTAATAAAGCAATGCTATATAGCTATTTATCTTATAATTAATATGCTTAATAATAAGGATCTAGCGCTTAAGTTAAATAATAATAATAAAGGTAATAATAATAAGGTAAGCTATAAGCAGGCCTATAAGGCTTAAAAGACTATAGCTAAGTATATCTTTTATAAATAGGCGCTAGTATTAAAGAGGGAAGGTGCTATTACTGTTTTTATAATTATTAGTCTTTAGTTATATTTTAATTTAGAAAAGGAATAGAATTCTAGAATTTATTTATATAAAAGGCATATATAAGGTAATATATATAATTAGTATTAAAGGGCAAGGCTATTACTATCTAGATATTAATTATATATAATAAAGCTATAAAGGTAATAAAAAAGAAAAGGGAAAGAAAGGAATAATAATAAAGACAATTTAAGTAAAGGAAATAGCAGTTAGCGCTAGTATTATCTAGGGTAAATGTTGCTAATAATTAAAGTAGTAAGGATCCTTAGCTAGGTTAGTATTACTATAAATAGCAGGCAAATTAAAAAAAGCATTAAATAAAATGCCCTGCAGCATTTTAATATATAAGATTATTATATATATTAAACTTATAGAGAAATCCTTTTATAATATATTAACTATAGCCTGTTTTACTATATAGCCTTATAATTTATAAATAGTAATAGTATAAGCTATTATTAAGGGAAATTACATTTAGCTGCATAAGGCGCTCCCCTTAATAAAGTCTTAAATAGATTAAAAGATAGGCACTACTTTTTATAACTATGCTCCTTTAAGATAAAGAGGACTATTATAATAATTAAATTCTATAAGTATAATAGCTAGATGCTAGATGCAGGGATCTTTAATATCTTATGCCTATAAGATATTATAAACTTAGCTAATTATACTATTAACTAGGCTTATAAATATCTAGATATTCTTTATTAATATTATATATATGCTAATATAAAGATATAAGCGCTAGTTAAGGTTTCTAGTAAATAAAGAATTAGCTTCTTGCGCTTTAAGGCTAGTATTAAAAGCCATAATGCAGATATATAGCTTGCTTAGCCTCTTTATATAATTAAGGTTATACTCTTAAACTTAAGTATTAGTAAGATAGATCTAGATAGCTAAGTTAAATTACTAGACCTTGTTTAATAGTAGCAGAGCCTAAGTTTATATATATAGTAAATGCTAATTTTTAATTATAAGAACATTCTAATACAGGCGTTAAAGGGCAAGGCAGAATAAAGCCTAATTATCCCCTGCTTAGTAAATAACCTACTATAACTTAACTATAATACTAATTAACCTATATGCATTATGCCCTAATAGATTAATCTTGCCTTAAGGCTCTATAGTAAAAAGAGGGCGTTTTATAACTAGAGGTAGTTAATAAAAGTCGCTTAAAAGAAGGATGCTTTAACCGCTAAAATACTTATTTTAGTATACTAGGAAGATCTCTTATAGTTAATAATTAATATATCCTATTATATATAAGCCTATTATAGACTTTTTATTAATAATAAGATATTAAATATAGCATAATTTATTATAAATATTAAAGATATTAATAGTAGAAAGAGATAGTAAATTACTTAATATCTTAAAAATAAGCAACTACAGTAAGGAATAGAGTATAATGCTATTAATTATATTTATAGCTATGCTAGTTAGTATAGCTCTAGCTATAACTTACTAATTAAAAGGCACTATTTACTATAGCTTTATAAAGATAGCCTTAATAAGGAAGGACTTA